AGGAAATGTTCGAGGAAGGAGCGAGAGTACAGTTGGGTATGGCATTTGCCTTGCATACAGCTGAGGAGAGTTCGGATACTGGGTACCCCAAATGCATAAGGAGTAAGCTCTGAACACTACCAGGTGTAGCCTAAAAACAGGGAGATGTTTAAAGAAAATAGACACATTCCTGCAAGTGCAAGGAGAGTCCAAAGCAGGGAACACCAATGCAATCTTATTACTTTCTTCTGGTTTTAGACTTCTAGGTCTAAGGTTCTGATCATATTTAGGCGGTCATGGGTTGCCATGGTAACTATAAATTACCAAGGCATTTATGAGTGTGATTTTGGTGTTAAAATGTTAAGATTGTATAACAAACCAGAGATCATTCGGCTATCATCTAAGACTGGTCTACCCTTGCTTCCCCATGGCTGTAATAAAGGGAGAACTTGCAAGGAGTCAGAAAAACCCAGAAAGAGTTTTACTACTGTAATTTAGGACTAGTGCCTGACTTGGAGTTTCACTCGCTGGCAGTATCATTTATTAGCATTTCTTACCTTCTCCTTACATCATTCACTGCAAGGATTTTTGTCAAGGACTGTCTCAGTGAAATAAAATCACACCTGAATATATCTCCCTAGACTGGACTTGGTAGGTCTGGCGAGGCCATACCATCACATTTGGTAGCAGTGTAGTCAGAAAGTGGGTTTTGGATATCTGACAGTGCTCAGGGCTTACTACTGGTGGAGCTTGGGCGAACATATGCGATGCCAGGGATTGAGCATAGGTCTGCTGGATGTAAGGAAGCAATTTTGCATTTAGAAAACCTAAGTGACCAGTCTGCGGAATGTCACCAGTTTACAAGTGTATAATGGTTGAAAACTTGCGCTGGAGCAGTGCCTGAGCACCCCCAAGAATAATTCCCGAGTGTAGAGCCAGGACTAACTCCTGAGCATTGTCACTTATGGCCCAACAACAACAAAAACTTGAAAAACAAATTTAAAGCATCTTAAATCTGTTATCAACAATTTCAGGATTACCTTAAACAAAAAAAGTGAGTGCTCAATGGACTGGACCACATGCTTTGAAAGCAAAGAAAATTATAGATCTAGGGCCGGAGCAATAGCACAGCGGATAGGGCATTTGCCTTGCACGCGGCTGACCTGGGTTCAATCCCCGGCATCCCATATAGTCCCTCCAAGCACCGCCAGGAATAATTCCTGAGTGCAGAGCCAGGAATAACCTGAGCATGGTCGGGTGTGACCCAAAAAGAAAAAATAAAAATTATAGTTCTAAGCATTTTAAGTAACATTGGTTTGTCATTGCTCCTCCTGAAGGGAGTTTAGGCTGAGTTACACCCATCACAGTACTCCCCAATTCCATTAGGCACTCCTAATCCTCTGTTTATCTTTAACCTCTCCCTTGTTGCTCTTCTTTTAATCACAAATATTCCCAAACCAGACCCTGTAACTTGTAGGTCATATCTTTTGAGGGCTCTGGATTTTGTTAATGTAAGTTAAATATTGCTTCTCTTTATGACCTTTGCATAGTTTACTTTAGAGCAATGTCCTTTGTATAGACAGGTAGTTAACGCTATGCTTTTGTAATTTGGGACTTAACTGACTCCTAATAATATTTACTTCTGTGTATCCGTCATATTTACTTAAGCCTCAGTTGCCCTTAATTCCTAACACCCAGAAACAGCAGTCCCAGTGAAGAACTTGGATAGATCTAAGGCAAGCCATAAGCTACCTTGGCATCGAAAAGGAACAGTCTAAGCATCCTAAGAAGTATAAGTTAAGAGCATGTCATGGAACTGTCATGTCCTAAAAAGAAGCCTCTTAATAAGGACCCTGCTGGGATTAGGAAAAACTAACCTGGCCTGAGGACTGTGTGGGGAATATATAGCGAGACGTCCCCAGGAATAGCCACCCTTCAAGTTTACTCAATATTATCTTACTGTGTTCATACAAAATGACTAGAAACATTAGTAAGAAGTAAATTTAATGATTATTTAAATGGATTACTAGCCAAGGGAAGGAGAAAGCAATACACCCTTAGATGGAATCCCACCCAGTGCTGAGCCCTTAGATGAAATTTTGTCCTTGGGTAAAAATCCCTTAGAACTTCCCTTGAAGGAAGGTCTTAACATGTTTGTTATAATGTTCAACCATACCTATGTGTAACTGGCTACCCCCAACTGTTCATGATTTCTATTTAACATTAAGATTTGAATAAATGGCCACCAGCCTGTGGCCCCATTCCTTTGTTGTCTCTCGCTGTCAGCCAGCCTGGAGAGGCGGTTCCACGGAATGCAGTAAATTCGATGTAATTCAAGTTCGAAGTGAATTAATAAAACTCGTTGCATGTGAAGGCACATGAAAAAGACCACTCACTATTGTGTGGTCCTTCCTCTGAGGACAAATAGTTTACACAGAATCTAGGTCTGTCCCAGTTATTTCTTATAAATTATATTCCTAAAAACATAAATTATACTCCTAACTTGGAGGTAATATCATAACCTTCCTTAACCTTCCTTTGTATATAGTGGAAGCAGTCCCAACAGCATTCCAAGGTTACAGTAATGGAACGATCTAATCTCCCAAAGGAAATCCTTATATATGGTAAGGTCTACATATTTACTTAAAATGGTTCACAGTACTTTTTCTGGTTCTTGGGCCACATCCAGGGTACTCAGGAATCTCCTAGTTGGTGCTCAGGGGAATATATGGAATGCCAGGGATTGAACCCTGGCCGGCTGAGCACCTTACCAACTGTACTCCATCTCTGAGCACCTTACCAACTGTACTCCATCTCTGACCCGATTACCATTTTCAAGTTTCAAAAAAAAACAAAACAAAGCCCTGGCCAGAGGAATAGCACAGTGGGTAGGGTGTTTGCACGCAGCCAACATGGCGGACCGGAGTTCGATTCCTCCGCCGCTCTCGGAGAGCCCGGCAAGCTACCCGTGACATATTCGACATGCCAAACACAGTCACAACTGTCACAATGGAGATGTTACTGGGCATGCTCGAGAAAATCGATGAACAATGGGACGATAGTGACCAAAAAAAGTGTAGAAAAAAAATCATGTAAAGACTTTATATACTTCACATAATATATATATTTTTTTTTGGTCCACATCCAGCAGTCCTCATGGATTACTCCTATCAGGGCTCAAGGGACCATATGCAGTGCTGGAGGGGTGGGGGGTTTCCTCTGTCGTTTCAAGGCAGGTGTCCTACTCACTGTACTATTGCTCTGGCCCCATTATTTCACAAATAAATTATCAGATGCAAACATAAAACAACTGGAAAATTCCTAAAACAGACAACTCAAATCAATTTGGTTATTATAATGACTTTAGCTGTAACTCCAAGAGGACAACCCATGAATTCATAAACCACTTTCAAAATTTACTTTCCCACTTCTGGGTACTTTCAGAAGACCTGGCAGCCACGCCCATGAATCACCACCACCACCATGTAAGCTCATCTACCAGCCCTGCTAAGAGACTCATAAATTCCGAGGGGTCAGAGGGGCCAATAGGGCTTTTGCCTTGCATGCAGCCAAGCCAGGTTCAATCCCAGTATCCCATTTGGTCCCCCAAGCACCACCAGGAGTAATTCCTGAGTGCAGAGCCAAAAGTAAGCCCTGGGAATTGCTAGGTGTGGTCCAAAAGCCAAAATATTAATCGCAAAAGAAATCAACTAGCCCCCAGAAGTTCTGACATTGGTTCCTAGCTGAAACCTCTGGGGAATCTTGAAGTATGGACAGGCAAACTCCTGTTCAAAACTCCAGCAGCCACCCCAAACCCCAAAGTCATTATCATGCCTCCAGCCAGACAACCCTTTCCACTCCTCAGTAATAAGCGCCACAGAGAAACAGTATGCTCAAAACTCCAGGAACACAAGTCTTTGTGACTGAAAACCCCAGTTGGGTGGGCAACCTCCCCACACCAAGCCCTACTTCTGTAAGACCTGGCAGCCATGCCCAGTTAAATATAGATTTTTTTGGGAGCACACGATCATATATGTGGCTACAATGACATGGTCTAAATTCTACAACACTGACATTTCAGTAGCAGCACACCAGATTGGATGGGATAAAGTAATACAGAAGCCAAACAATGTCAACTAACAAAAACACTAACACAGAACGCGTAACTTGCAACAGCTTAGTAAAAATTCAGTAAACTCAAGGACTTACTGCCCCATGGTGAGATAAAATAATTTTCAGTTTCTTCTAAAAAATAATTTTTTGATCATTCTGCCTTTTAATGGTAACCAAGCAATGTAAAACAAATTATTATGGGAATACTATGGGAATACTATGGGAGATAGCTCCGGGTTGGTGAGATTAGCATTGGAATATTGAATGCCTATAACAAATCATGAACTTAGTAAACCTTAGTGCATAAATAAACTGGGTAAAAATTAACTTCTGCTCTGGGAAACATAATCAATGAGAATATATATGCAACGGGACTTATGTTACACAAAATACATTAAAAAAAACTCAAAACTAACAATAGCAAAATAATCAAATGCAAGTGAGGATGTAGGGGAAGATGTACTTAAGCAAACTGGGGCTAGAACTATATATAGTACAGCAGGTAGGACACTTGACTTACCTGTGGCTAACCAGGGTTTGATCCCTGGGCACTGCTGGTGTGGACCAAAATCCAAAAAGGAGAAAAATGAAACTGAACTCAAGAAATGTCTTTAAAAAAAAAAGTGAAATAGTTTCATCTAGGGAAATATGAGAAGGGATCTGTCTAAAAGAGATCAAGGGTGGGAAATGGGCACTGGTGGAGGGATGGGTATTTGATCATTCTATAACTGAAACCCAAACACAAAAATTTGTAAGTCTATAACTGTACCTCATGATGTCTCACTAATAAAAATTAAAAAAAAAAAGAGATCAAGGGTTTCTCAAGAGAGCTGAGGAGCTAATAAAGTAAAAGAAAGGAATTCAAAATACCTCAGAATGAGATTAAGATGTGACTCCCAAAACAAGAAATGAATTGAGATGTTTATTTTTTGAAGGTAAAAGGTAGTACTGAAATCCAAGGATTGATATAAATTTCATAAACACAAAGTTGATTCTGAATAAATCATTATTTAGACAGTAATTACTGGAAAAGTATTAGCTATGTACTTAAATCAAAATTTCTCAAACAAAATAAACATGGCAATACAAAATTTAAGAAATCTGAGGAATCTATACAAAATAACTTAGTATTTAAAAATTAGACTGATACAGTCAATACACAAGATCTCTCTGAGAGCTGCAAATTATATATCTATGTCATTTTTTCAGGGGATGAAAGAAAGGATGCTTCAAGGCTTCTTTCAAAGTAATCCTTCTAGATGGATCATATTCCAACATTTTCTCAATGAGGTCAAAAAGCAGCTCATGTTCAGCATCCTGAGAAAGCATAAACTCCTAAAAGAAAAAAAAAAAATCAAAAGCTATTTCTAATAGTTTTTCATAATTCCATTTCTCCACAAGAGTGGAAACAAGTTTTCAGTCATTGAAGCAATGACCCATACTTACCTTCAGGGGTTTACAGCGCCTTGAAACATAGCGGCCAGCAGAACTGTGCTCATCCCAGTCTAATCGATCATGATGGAAATATTTACGTTTCCTAAGAAAAAGTCAGTATCTTTACGTTATTGAAATTGTTATTACTGATTTTGGGGCCACACCCGACAGTGCTGGGAGAGGACTATGCAATGCTGGGAATCACAAAGGGCCTCCCACATGCAAAGCCCTCTGAGCTTTCTCTAGCAGCTATTGAATAAATATCAAAGGTGACTATCAGTTCTGTTAGCATATCAATTTCAAGTTGTTGTAAATGCTTTTCTAGATATTAAAAATATAACCTAGAGATACTGATTCTCTTAGCAATCTATTTAAATGAGAAAACATTAACTGAACACACCTCATTGTTCTATAATGTTCTAATTAAGAAATACGACCAAGTGTTAGTGAAGGTTATATTTCTTTTCCCTCTCCCACCACCAATATGACTCTTAAAATAAAGACATATCCAGTAGGACCAGAGAGAGAGAGTGCATTGGTCTATGTGTAACTAGCTGGGTTCTATTCCTAGCACTCCATTTGGCCCTGAACCTCACTCAAGAGTGATTCCAGAGCCAGGGGTAAAAGCCCTGCATACATTGCCTAGTGTTGTCCAAATATCAAAACAAAACAAAAAAAAAAAAATAAAACCAACATACCTGGTTTTCTGTATCATATGTCTTGGTAATGGTCCAAGAATCCTTTCCATCATTGCTAAGTGTTCCTTACTATCATGTGTCTGAAATTATAAAAAAAAAAATCTTTTTTCTGCAATGCACATCATTTTTGGTCTCATCTGATATAGATAGTAAATTTCTAGACTAGGAATTATCACAAAAGAATCACTAAAAAAGGTAATTTAAAGCTTGTTACAGCTAACAATTAAAGCTTTACAGAATGATTTCCCTGAAAAAAGGATAACCTTTTTATAACAAAAGTTTTAAATAAAAAGAAAATGTACAGTAGGATTACATTTCTAATAGCTACAAACAATAGTTTTTAATAAGGGGGAAAGATTATGTGAACATATACTAAGTATTCACTTAAACAGGCATTTCTAAAGCACCAGAAATAGATCATTAATACTTACTGGAAATACTGTAAATCCAAGGTAGTATTCTATAAGAATACATCCTATACTCCAGACATCACAAGGTTGGGACCATCCTAGAGCTGCAAAATAAGGCATACTATTAAGAGCTGACCAGGAGAGTAAAACTTATGGTATGCTTCCCTTAAAGAGATAAGGGAAATGTTTCTCAGAAGACCATAATCATTTTGTTTTTAGGTCACATCCACTGGAGCTCAAGATTTATTCCTGGCAGAGCTCAAGGGACCATATGGGCTACCTAGGATCAAACTGGGTTGGTAGTGTGCCAAGACAAGTGCCTTAACCACTATATTATTGTTCCCGTACACCCCCATCCCAAACCATTCTATTTTTAAGAAATTTCTTCCTCCTTACTCCTCTTGGGCTCTGGACTCAGGAACTGTAACTGGTGCTGGGGACAGAACCTGGACTGGTCCCATGCAAGGTAAGCACTCTACCCACTGTACTATCTCTCCAGTTACAAAACATACATTTTATGGTACCCTTCAACAAAGAGATAGATTCTGATAGCACAATACCTAAAATAACTTCAGGCGCCCTATAATGTCTTGTAGATACCAAAGTACTGTGGTGTTCATCATCGTATGTTGCACTTCCAAAGTCCACAACTTTAATATCTGGATTTATTAAGGTCCGTTCATCACGTTTCTGAAAACCATAAACGGTTAGAGGTTTAACAGTAAAGCATAAAACATATTCATTTGAAGTTTTGAAGACAATCCAATCAAGAATTACCATTTTGGGATTATATGCCTCTGTATAGTCAGACTGCACAAACAGGATGTTTTCAGGCTTTAAGTCTGTGTGAGTCAACTTATTACTGTGTAAAACTGAGAAAGAAGAAACAAACAAGTTTGCTGTTACTTTAAAAAAAAAAAAACACACACACACCAAAACCCCTCATACAAAAAACTTAAGCCAGAACAAAAACCCACTCTAAATGCCCATGCATTCTCACTCCATTCTTCTATCATTTATAGAAGCCTGAGAGTAAAATTTCCTCAATCATACAACGCATATTGTTTACCACTGAGTTTTATCTGCAGTCCCTGTTTTTGTCCTCCCCCCACCCAGCCTCCCTTACCGGGGATCTAATCCAGGGACTCCACATCTACTGCTAAATTACATCTCCCTGCACCACTCCCACACATTCCACTGCCAGCAATTTATTCCCTTAAAGCAACCAAATCAGTCTGGTTCTGTTTCAAAGCTACATTTCTGGATATCATGACAAGTACTTACAATTCACAGACTTGCAGATCTGATATGCCATCTTTCTGATATGATCCAGACGAAATGGCAGAAAACCATTTTCCTTAATGAAGTCATAGGTACTAAGTCCTAATAGTTCAAACACAATGCAAATGTGACCATGATGCTCAAACCACTCCAACATCTGGACACAGCGGCTTTAAACACATAAATTTAAATGAGCACAATTTCTCAAAATTCAAATCTTTACACCTGAGGCTATTTTGTAAGTTTGCATACTTACAATGTACTGCTGGGATCTGTTGTATTTAAATGTTCCAAAACTTGTATTTCTGAGCGAGCAGCTTCACAATATCTATCCACATTTTTAACTATTTTTACTGCCACATGTCTACCGCCTCTGTTGGTTGGGGGAGAGGAAAAAAAAATTGAAATGATGCCCAATTCCATTTTTTTCTAGCAGTCTTCAAATTTTACTAGTTTCACTGTGACTCCTATTTGTTTTCTTGAATCTATGATCTGGCATTTTAAAAAATAAAAAACTTCTTGAAAATTCTGGGCCACCCAGGTCTGAGGGCCATTCCTGGTAGAGCCCAAGAAACCATATAGAGTACAGGAGCTTGAACCTGGTTTTCCTACAGAGCATGTATGCCAGCTAATAAAGCACCTCGCAGCTCCCAATTTTGTCTGTTATATGTAAACTATTTCTAACCGCAATTTAGCATAAGTCATAACAATGCTTTTAGGGTAAATGTGTCACATACTGAATGACAAATACTTTATTGGACTATGAGTTACTTCAGGGACTTTACCTAATCAATGTACTAACAGTTCTTACTCATCAGTAGTAATACTGAACTGAGTAGCTCAAAAAAAAACGGTTAAGGGGGTTGGAGCAATACTACAGGGGAAAAGGATGTTTGCCTTGCACAAAGCTGACATGGGTTCAATCCCCAGTACCCCATAAGGTCCCTGAACCTGCCATGAGTTATCCCTAAGTGCTGAGCCAAGACTAAGTCCTGAGCACTACCAGGTGAGGCCCTCCCACCAAAAACCCCTGAAACTATATTATACCTCAATTTCATTCCAACTAAGACTTTTAAAATTATATAAAGCAGTTTCTTTCAATGGTGCTTTGTCACCATCTTCCTTTGGCCCAGGTTATCAGAAAAGCTGGAATACAATAGCTATAGGTACTAGGGGCTCTAGCTTTCAAAATCACACCAATATGGTAATACAAAACCTCTAATTCATTTCATTCAGCTCTACCATTCAAAAGGGGGAGGAGGGAGACATCAAGAAGCAAGTAAAGGGAAACTTGCCATTTTAATAAAAATTACGCAATGTAGAAGTTCTCAGCTCCAGTTATACTGTCAAAACAAATTGGTTCTTTAAAACACACAACAAAAATCGAAGCTCCAAAATCATCATCATTGCCAACTACCCTGAAGAGTACTTCACTATGTAAGCAAAACTTAAAAGATCAGCGCGGGGAGTAGGCACCTGGCTGTGCTCAGGGTATATACTTCGGGAAGGTTCAGGGGACCGTTTAGGGATGACAGGTATGGAACAAGGTTGGCCACATGCAAGGCAAGTGCCTTACCAGCTCTCTGACCTCACGAGAGCCACCAACTTCAAGGGAAGTCGCGGAATGCGAGACAACAAAAGACCTTTTTAGCTTTAAATGAAAATTAGGAGGCCACATTTGCTACTCACAGCTAGTAAATACTAATAAAACAGTGCAATATCAGATTAGAAAACTTACGCTTTATGATCAATGCACTCCACTACTTTTCCAAACGCTCCTTCACCTAAAGTATCAACAATTTCATCTAAAAGAGAAAAATAAACTTGTCATATAAGAAGTGGAGAAACTGTTTACTTATAATAAATGCTAACAATGCCTATTATTCTAGTTGATGTTACAAATTTCCTTATGTCTAGGAAAAATTTTATTGTTCAACACTGTCAAAAATACATTAACATTTTTATGTTTAACTTCATTTTTAAACTAATTTCATTAATTTGATTTACTGTTCTGGAAACTATTTAATAAACATTATATTTCTAAGGAAAGTAAAAACACAACCCCCCCCACCAAAAGAAACGAAAAAAGCAAACAAAAGAACAGAGAAAGAAAAAAAGACCTCCATATCCCTGATATCTTAATCTACATATAGATTGTTATCTGAAAAGTTAATAAGTGTTGAAAAATATTCTATACATCTTGCACTTAGTACGTCTCCACTCTGACAGATCAGGTGACCCTCCTCATCATCCTCTACACTCCTGGATCTTTTCCTTCGGTGACTCTTCTGGAAACGTCAAGTGGGCGGCACCAAGATCATCCAGCCAATCAATATACCCGAGTGAATTCAGGGCAGAATACGAAATTCATTCAGCGGGGAGATATTCAGGCATTCAGATACACGCCAGGCCACAAACGGTTGGCAGGAGCAATTTCAAATTCAGTCCCCAGAAATTCACAGGGCACATAGTTTATGTTAACAGGAGAAAAACATGGCAAGGAACAGATTTTCAGATAAGATACTCAAAGTGGCAAGGCAACAAAACATAATACAATTGTTTAGGTTTAAAAAATGCTTAACTGTAGCAGTCACTGAAACATAATTTAAGCTTCTAAGTGCTCTAATTAAATGCTGTAAAACTGTAGAATGTAATATTTACTAGTCAAAGTAGTCTGTGGCCAAATTAAGACTGCAAAGCTTATCTAACAAAACAAACAATAAAGTCATAATTTGGGGGCAAAACTTTTTTCTGACACACAAGTATACAAGTATACTATGGAATTTTAAACATTATCTAAACTGACCTTCAACATAATACATCACCCATAATGTTAAAAAAATTTACCAATGGCTTGTGTAGAGAAAAAATATTTAGAGTATGCTTTGCTAGAACAAACAGGCACACTCAATTTTTTCAAACATACAAACATATAATGCCTAGCCTATTTTGGGGATTAGGTATCAGATTACAAAAATAAATTAGATTTAAGTACTATATAAATTATCTTCCTATAATTCCAGAAACTATCTTGGATATTATACCCATTACTTAAGTGGAATAACAATTAGTTGCCAATTAATGAAAGAAAATAGTACTAAATATGTGCTGTATTTCAAGAATTTCCTATCAATGCAAAAATACAGAAAAGAAATACTTCAAGTTAAAATTGAGACGACTTCATCTTAAACAGTACTGTTCTCAACCAAACATTAACTCAAGTTTTCCTATTCCACATGGAAAATAAAAAACTCAAATGTTTTAAAACAGTGCATACCCCATGTGAACGATGATGAGAGGCACTATGGTGAATCCTGTATTGTCTTTTATAGCTACTCCTGCCACTTCTACCAGAGGATTTGCTACTATGGTTCTGATATCTGCTTTCATGGTCTCTATGGTGATGTCCATATTCACATCCTTGATTGTAGTCATTTCTGTATTCATCAATGTAACGTCGACTATGATAGTCTTTCTCATTTATAGATCTGCTTTCCAAATAATAGCTGGAAAAATAAATTTTCAACATTTTATACTGTTTTAAGCAACACTAGTTTTAAGCAGGAAAATGCATTTTTCTTTTCTTAAAACACAAGAAGATACTTTGTTTTGTTTTGGAGGCCACATTCAGGTGATGCACCCTCCAGGAATCATTCTGGGCCCAGACCCCCCTCCCCAACCCAGGCTTCAGCACCATCTCTCCTAGCCCAACGTACACAATACTGAAATGAAACAGCACCTCCCCCCCACCCCCGTTTTTTGGCCCACATCCGGTGGTGCTTTGGAGGTGTGAGTGACCAAGGGGACACCAGGGATCTAACATGGGACAGCCGCATGCAAAGCAAATTTACCAGCTGTACCATTTTTCCAGGTCTCCCAAAAAACACGCTCAATCCAAACACCAAGTACCTCCTTACCTATCAGAAGTTTTTGAGTGATTATATTTGCAGCGCTTGTTCTCCTGGGCACTGCTATGTGAGCTCCTTTTTCTTTTACAACCACTGCTGCTGCTCCTCCATTTTCCACAATCCCAATGTTTTTCTTCCCAGTCAGGACAGTAAGTTCTCTTTGAATGTCTCATCTGCAAAAAATACAAGGGTTTTTATTTTATTTTATTAACCCCATCCATGAGATGATACCCACGAGTCAACCAACACCCAACAGTTAGAGACAGGCCTTTGTGTCAAAGTCACTCAAAGCTGTGACCTCTGGGACTGTTCTTCCAAAGCGAAGTTCAAGTCCCCCCCCCCCCCCGAAGTCGTGATAAACGACTGTTAAACTTCGATGCCCGTGTGGTCCCGTCATCTGGAGCTCGGACTTGCCCGCCCCGCCCGTGTGAGCGAGGCTTTCAACGCCCATCATCAACGACCTCCCTATGCTTCAGACGCGCCCCGTAGAGAAACGACACCGTCCCTTCTCCTCAGAGCCGCCTTCTGCACGGTCGCAGGGAGAGAGGGAGGCACCCTCCTCTCGGAAAGGTCTAGAAGCTAATTTTACTAACCCTCTGACCTCTGGGCAGACACCCTCCAGAAACGACTCCGTCCACCCCGCGTCCTCGCCGCCGCCTCTCCGCCCAAACCTTCCAACTGTCACCCCCAAAGCCAGGGGCTTGGGGGCGGCCGCGGGAAACGCCTCAAGCGCCTCAGTCCCCAGAGTCCGCCTACCCGTTCCCGCAACGCGCCTCCTCTCCCTCGACTCTGGCTCCCCAACCTGCTTTTGTTCCGCCGCGGGGCGGCACAAAGACACTCGCGGGGTTCGTGCCTTCCGTGGACCCAGCTGAAGGCGCTCGACGTCCCGGGATCTGCCCAGGCCAGAGCGCTCTGCCCCTAGTCCCGGCGCGGGGACACCCGCCCCGCCCCGCCGCCATCTTACATCGCGTCCCGGGCGGCCGCCGCGGACAACATGGCGACGCGGGCCCAGCAGCCTCTCCCCAACGTCGCGCAGGCGGCCCCTCACTCTCACCCCCAACGGCAGGCGTCGGGGACGGGGGGCGCTGCCCGCCGGGCTCACACCGGGTGTGTGTGGGGGGAACAGTCTCGGGAAAGCGCAGAAGGCAAAGCTGAGTCGTCTTTGTGTTTGTGCAACTCAGGAGCTGAGAGGGCTGAGGGTGGTCAGCAGAGAGCCTGCCGAAAGGAAGGCAGGACGACCCTCCCCTCCCCAGGCAGACAAGGGACCCTGAGACTGGTCCTCCACCACCCAAAGTCTTACCGTCCAGGCCGGAGGTTCCAAGACGAAACAAGATCGTAGAGTGGGCGCCAAGAACCGAACAGCTGTGAGCGACGCTCTCCCACAACAAAATGGAGCTGACGGCCTCAGCGTCGGGACGCGGAGTCGAAAACACCGTGACGCGACTGGGGAGACTCCGCCCCGGGGCGGCGCGCGAGAGGGCGGGGCCGCGACTTGGCGCGTGCCACAGCGATGTGCGCAGGCGCAGAGGGACAGGGGGCGGGGCCGGTGGACGGAGAGACGCCATTGGCTCCCCCGCATCCCCTCTGTGTATGGGCTGGTACTGGGTGTGCTTTGGGGAAGACCTTCCAAGACTTTTGTTCCTACGTGTTAGTCTGTTTTGCTACAGCTGCTAACTTCTTTGATTCACTCCTCCATCGATAACAGCTGATGTTACTTTTGGGGTTGGGCAGGAAGTACAGTGGGTAGGCCGCAGGACTTGTCACGGTTCTATTCCTCACCCCATGTAGTCCCCGAGCTCCACCAGGACAGGCAGATCTTTGTGTGGCCTCCAAACCAACCAACAACAACAACAAAACTCAAACTAAAACATTACACCACCTGCTTTTGATAGGTCACAACCACAACCCCCCCCCCCCCGCCCCCAACACCTTTTTCTGGACTTTGGCGACTGCCGAGGTTCTGAGGCCTATTTAAACCAAGTTCAAGTCATAACCAGAGTGGAGCTCATTGGCAGAGCACATAGCATGTATGAATCTCCTACACCTGTCTTTCTAGCACCAAACAAGACAAAACTTCTTTTTTGATTTTTGTGCCACACCCAGCAATGCTCAGAGATTACTCCTCGCTCTGCACTGAAGAATTATTACAGGTGAGCTTAGGGGAGGATAGGAGATGATGGGAGATTCAAACCAGGTCTGAGGCGTGCAAGTTAAGGACCCTACTCGCTATACTATCACTCCCGTACCCAAACTGCTTAAATCTTTAGTCACTGTGGCTCACACACTGAAATTAAGTTAGAAACGAATTTTTTTTTTTTTAATTTCACCTTGCGGGGCTTAACCCAGGATGTCATACGTTCTAGACAAGTGCTCTACATTTCTCAAGTTATTTCCCTGACCTGTTTTAAGTTTTTCTTTCTTTGTTGCTATAGTTGCTGTGACCACACACTTATGCTAACCTGGAGTCTCGAATCTGGTTTCTGTGCTCCCACTTCTGTTTGTAATGCTGTAGGTGGATTGCTCACACACGTGCTTGCCTGGATTTATACTTCTGGGCTGCTGACATAGTAATGCATGCATGTATCTGTGGATGGAGGTGGGACAGTGTTGCTGTGCAAGGGGGCCCAGTCAGTAAGGCTATCAGGACCGCTTAGTGCATGTGGGCAACTCTAGAGATTGAATTTTAGGATTTCATAATCTGCCCATGGTTTTAATAGAAGAGGCAAGGGATGTGGCTCAGTAATAAAGCATATACTCTGTATGCATGACACCTGTGTTCAATTCCCAGAAAACCAAAATTTCAGACCCCAAACAAAAATTAAAGTGCACATTTGCACAAGAAAGCAACGTAGCTGAATCTACCTTATGCACAAGTATAGGACAGTGGTAGGGGAAGTATTTCAGAGGAAGAGTAACATGAAATTTATAGCTTTTTAGACATATCTAAAAGCAATCCTACCAGAAAAGAAGATAGCAAAGGGGTTAGGTAAACCTCAAGCCTGGGTTTGCTCCTTGGAAAGACGTGGCTCCTGAGTGTTGCTGGCCACAGCACTGGAGGCCCCTGAGTATCTGTGTGTGGTCCTGGAGGTCTCCTCCATTGCAGGGCTAGAGATGAATAGCACCACATCCTTGCACCCTTGTATTACACTCTACTGAATGACTATTTCAAAGTTTGGTCTCAGGTCTCCTGAGTGTGACTTCAAATGTGTGGCCAAGAATCACCTCCCCAGGCCAGCCGATGGTGACTGACAAAGAAAATGGAGAATGAATGAGGGAGTTTAAGGGGGTGGGGGGGGGGTGCCAGGTTGGCTGGTAATCAGTGATCATTTATTATTATTTTCATAGCATTAGTTATATAGAAATTGTGAAGGGTGGGGGTACACATAGGTGGGGCTAAACAGTACAATAAACAGATATAAAGCCTTTCCTTCAGGGGATGTTCTTCTAGGACATTAACTCAGGGACAAAAATCTCACCTGGGACTTCTTGCACTCAAGATTACTTAGGAGACCCACCCAAGGGCGGGATTCCATCTAAAGGCAGATTGCTTTCTCTTTCCCTTAGCTAGTAATCCATTTAAACCACCATATTAAATTTACTTCTTACTAATATTTCTAGTCATTTTGTATGAACACAGTAAGAAATATATTGAGCTTAATGGGTGACTCTTCCTGGGGACATCTCACTATATATCCCAGACTACAGTCTTCAGGCCAGGCTAGTCTTTCCTAACCCCAGCAGTGTCCTTATTCACTTACTTATTTTTGGGTCATGACAGAGTTCAATGATTGTGCTCTTAACTTATACTTTTTATGGTGCTTAGCCTGTCCCTTTTCGATGCCAGGGTAGCTGCTTGCCCTGGGGTCCATCCAAGTCTCTCATCTGGACCCTCCTTTTGGGGATCTTAGAAAGGGCAACTAAGGCTGAAATCAAGTAAATATAATGGATGTCCAGGAGTAAATACTATTTGGAGTCAACTTCCATGTCACAAAAGCATAGCAATAATTGTCTTCCTGTGTCTACACAAAAAAGACATTGCTAAACCATGCAAAAGACATAAAGGAAAGAGAAAAAGCAATATAGGATTATTAGTGTGTCATGGAATTGGGTGTGCTTCAGGAACACTGTGATGGGAGTAACTCAATAAACCTAAGCTCCCTGCAGGAGGAGCAAGGACAAACCAATGTTATGCAACACCTGCTGAACATCATGGAAATTCCCAAACCCCTTAAAAAAAAAAAAGGTGAATTTTAGGCTCATGTCTTGCATACGTACTGCTCTAAGTTCAAGCCCCTGCACTACAATACTTTGAAAATAAGAGAATCTGGGTTGATCAACATTATCTGAGTCTTAGTTATACTTAAATATATGGACTAGGACATAAATCACCCAACTGATTTTATGAGTGTGAACCAGCCAATTTACTGTGAGCAGACAGGTGAAATTCTTATGACTGTAACTGAACATGATGGGTCTCATTCTCCTAAAGAGCCTTGAATATAATCTCAGGGCTAGGATGAAGGAGACGTTACTGGGGCCTGCTCGAGGCAATCGACGATTAACAGGATGATTTGTGATTTTGTAACTGAACAGTCATAAGATTAAGTTCTAAGAACTGAAAGATCACCATATTGGACCCACTGAAAAAAATGGAAAAGTTCAGCGGCTAGAGAGATAATACAGTAGGTAGGCATTTGCCTTGTATGCAACTGACCTGAGTTCGATTCCCCAACACTACATATGGTCCCCCAAGCGCTGCCAAGAGTGCTCCCTGGGTAAGCTTACCCTTGGAGTAAGCCCTGAGAAATGTTGGGTGTACCCCAAAAACCCAAAAGGAAAAAAGGAAGAGTTCAGGATAAAAATTGAGGGAATATCAACGTGTATAAAAATAAAAATTTATGGAAAATATAAGCTTTTATATGAAGGATGAGAAGGGGCCAGAAACATAGCTCAGAAGGCAGGATTGCCTGCTTTGAATGCAAGAAGCATGCAGGAGGGGCCTGAAGCAACAGCACACTGGGGAGGGCATTTACCTTCCATGCAGCTGACTTGGGTTCCATCCCCAGCAACCCATATGGTTCCCCGAGCACTGCCAGGAGTTATTCCTGAGTACAGAGCCAAGAGTAACCCTTGTGCATTGCCGGGCATGACCCAAAAAACCAAAAGAAAAAAAAAAGCACACAGGAGGCCTGGATCACAGGGCACTACCAGTGTTCACTCCTGAGCACAGAACCAGGAATAGCTCCTGAGCACTGCTGGGTATGATCCCCTCCCCAAAAAATTAAACATATAGAAATACATGAAATAATAATGGTAGGAAAAGAATACACTCCAAGAATAGGAGTAAAATATGACTGTCTTCTCTTGGTACCATGGACTCCTTGTTAATGGTAAACAAGCAGGAAGATGCGGCAATCTCTGACATAATTACAGCTGGGTAAATAACATAGCTGTGTCCCCTGAATAGTCTGCCAAGTATTTGCCCAGGTCTATTAAAGCTACTGAGCAAACGGATTGGCATGAATAGTTATGTCCTTAATGTGTACATCATTAAGAGGCCGGTATGTCTTCTCATTTACTGGCAACTTCTCCAATTCATCTAGAGTCTCCAGACCATCTATTACTCTGCAAGAGAAATAATATAGTACATTAAAATTTTGTCAGATTGACTAATATCCCAATTCCTATAGAAATTCTAGTCCTAAGAAAAAGAGAAAGAGAGAAGTTTCACAGTTCCATAAATTCTCCAATGAATTTGGTCTATATCTACTACACAAAATCAAGTACAAAATAGATACAGACCAAGCAGACATGGAGCAAAATTCATTTTTATACCTTTATATAAAAGCAATGGGTAGGAATACTCCCAGTAAAGTATCTAATATTGTGCTGTCTTAAGCATCTTATACTCTTATCTAACCAAAGTATCTAATATTCTATCACACAGAATAGCTACCTGGTAGTCAGCATAAAGTTGTAAGACTTCCACCTTTGCTACAGGAAACACACAGAGAAAGACAGATATATAATTGTGAGTTCAAAGAGTGTGGGCACGCATGACACATATCTTTGGTGGTTGAGAACCACCTCCCAGGGCCAGCAAGGTGATGGACAAAGGACGGAGAATGGGAGAATGGAGGAACAGGGGCAAAGGCTGGTTGGTAGTCAGGGATCATTTATTTTTTTCTTCTTCATCGCTGTGACCCTGCTATGTATCATTTTCCCAGAAAAAATGCACACTCATAAACAAGGAGTTAATGGATTTGAAGTTTTAAGAATCCCTGTCCTAGGAGTCAAAAAGATGGTATAGAAGTTTGTTACCTTGCCTGCAGCCGACCCAGATTGGATCCCTAATACTACATATGGTCTTCCGAGCAAAGAGCCAAGAGTAACCCCTGAGCATTCTTGGATATAAGCCCAAACCACATCCCCTTGCAAACTCATAAGAATTCTTGTTTTAAATGCTTTGCTTTGTCACAAATCCAGTAAGACAAGACTTTGGTAGTTACTGATTAATTTTTTTTGGTGGGGGGGGGGGGGTCTCACCAGTGGTGCAGAGTATACTACCAGGATTACACCTGACAGTGTTCAGAAATCCATGCAGTGCTGTGAATTGAATCCAGTGCTCCATTTATGCCAGCTTCATGCTCAAGCCCTTTGAACCATCGCCCCAACTCCCCTGATCAATAATTTTGGATAGTGGGTTAAAACCCAGCTCCCGGAAGAGAACAGTGTAGTCTCCTGCCCCTGCGCCTGGCTGTCCTTGCCGGGGCCCCTTGGAGGGGAGTGGGTTGAGCTTTCCTCCCCGCCCCGACCAGGGCTCCGGCAGCCGAAGACCTCCAGGACCAGCCACCACCATGCTGAGACCACTCTCCGCACACCTGAAGGTACCGGCAGAGGAACAAAGGAAAGCAGGTCCCGGGGCTGAGATCTCCAAGCCTACTCGGATCGGGCTGAGCATCCTCCACCCAGATCCTCCGAATTCCAGTATGGGGGGTCACACCCACCAACTGGCCCCCTGGCGCCGTGTAATCCGTGTAATCCCATCAACGGCCAAGACTCAGAGACTATAAAACCCAGCTCCCGGAAGCGACATCTTAATATCTCATTCCTACTTTGGACAAACTGGCAGGCTACCGAATGTAACCTGCCCACACGGCAAAGTCTGGCAAACTCCCCGTGGTGTACCCAATATGCCAAATACCAGTAACAATGATGGGTCTCATTCTCCTAACTCTGAAAGAGCCTTGAATATGGCACTTTTTTAAAAAATCTCAGGGCTAGGACGAAGGAGACGTTACTGGGGCCTGCTCGAGGCAATCGACGAATAACATGATGGTCGTGATTCGTGATTCGTGGGTTAAAGGAAAAAATACAATAAAAGAAACCTGGATTATCTACAAACACAGACTAGTAAGTCTTCTATTTAAATTTTTGGTTTTTGATCACCATATTGGATCCACTGAAAAAAATGGAAAAAAGTTGCTCAGGGCTTACTCCTAGCCCCGCACTCAGGAATCACTCCTGGTGGGCTTGACGGACCATATGAAATTCCAGGGATCAAACCCAGGTGAGATGCATGCAAGGCAAGTGCCCCACCAGCTGGATTATCATTTTGGCCCCTCCCACTGGTTCTTGAAAAAACATTCAGTGTCAGGGATCAAATGCAGGGTTCTCACGTGCAAAGCATGTGCTCAGTCCTGAGTCATCTCCCAGGTACCGAGTCTTCTATTTTTAATTAACCTTTCATTCAAATTAACAGTCTAAAATTATCTCTTGGTTTTCCTCGTTTACTCATCACATAGTAAATATTTGTCAAAGAAACAGACACTTGACTTCCTTCCTGGCTCTGTGCTCAGGAATGACACCTGGTGGTGCTAGGACTAGATGTGGTGCTGGGAAATGCCTCTTGGTGTCTTCTTACTATGGTGGGGGGTGAAGAGGGCAGGGAGTGGATCACTGGATGAGGGTAATAGGTTTTAGAGACACTCAGAGAAAAAAACAACAAAGCAGATTTTTGGTGGTGAAGGCACTGTAACTGTGGACATCAAAACACATAAGAAAATGTTCTGTAGCCATGTACATGAATCACAATAAAAATTTACAACTTTTAAAAGGAGGGCAGAGTGATAACACAGTGGGCAGGCGTTGGATAACACTGGGTTGTTTTTGCTGCTCCCGCAGGGAGCTTAAGGTCTATTGAACCACTCCTAAAACAGAGCAACTGAGGCACAACTAATAATTCTGTATTGCTTTATTCTTTTCTTTATGTCACTTGTATGGTTTATTTAGTAATGTCCTTTTTGTATAGACACAGAAAGACAATTGATACTATGCTATGTAACATCGGACTTAATTGACTCCAAAATAATATTTACTTCTGGGCATCCATATTTACTTACATCCGTATTTACTATCCGTAAGCCTCAGTTGCCCTTAGTTCCTAGCACTCCAAGAGCAGGGTCCCGATAAGAGACTGATGGACCCAGGACAAGCTGTGAGCTACACTGGCATCGAAATGGAAATGGACCAGGCCAAGTGCAATAATACTTAACTGGAAGTTAAAAGAACAGTCATGGACAAACTCTGTCATGGCCCAAAAGAGGCAACTGAAAAAGGACCCTGATGGGGTTAGGAAAGCCTAACCTGGCCTGAGGACTGTGGTCTGAAATATATAGTGAGATGTCCTCAGGAAGACTCAAACTTTAAGCTTGATATATCTCTTACTATGCTCATACAAAATGGCATTGCTAGAAATACTAGAAGTAAATTTACTACAATTATTTAAGTGGATTACTAGCTGAGGAAAGAAGAAAGCAACACACCTTGAATGGAATCTCATCCTAGTAATCTGGGGTAATCTCCTTAGATGAGATTTTGTCCTTGAGTTGATCTCCTGCAGGAGTGACTGGCCTTACCTCTCTTTGTTGATCTGTTAATATTCAACCCCACCTCTGTATCCCACCCTACAGGATTTCTATATAAACTATGCTGTAAGGGGCTAGGGAGGTTGGGGCAGATGGTTAGAAGTTCGCCATGGTCACAGGGTTAGAAGAGGTCAGAAGAAGAGACCAGAGACTGAAGAAGATATCCGCAGCAGACTAGAGAGCAGGAGACAGAGAGAGTGAGACAGAGCACAATGGACAGAAGATAGAGGACTTAAAAGAAGAGCATAACACCAAGGTTAGAAGTAGAAGATCGACGTTAGAAAAGGACAGACTACCAAGACTGGAGAGGAGAGGCTGACACCGAAAAAGAGACCAGAGGAAAGACTACAGAGACTAAAGAGACAGAGAGAAAAAGAGCACAATAACACACATAGAAGAAGAGCACAAAGGAAGAAGATAGAAAGAGAGCACGGCAACAAAGAGAAGACAAGGAGGAAAACTGAGACTTTGGAGACTCTGAGGTCTGAGAGGAGACTAGGATTATGGAACTCTGATGGCCAAAACTACAGCAGTAAGGACAACCACGACTGCGCCGTAAAGGGAGAGATCAGACAATGATGGAGTCCATCGTCACTCATCCTTTGCTCATCCTTCACCCATCAGTCCCGGAAGAGCCTAGGGAAGCCACTCCCAGTCCACTGAATGACATCTGTGCATCCTATTAGCTCGTGGGCCTGCCTTTCCAACAGCCCACTACTTCTTACTTCTTATGTATGGTTCCGTTTCTTCTATTGCATGTTGAGATGAGTTGTAGAAAATTCAACAGGCAGGGTGTTGCCTTGCACAGGGCTGACCTAGGTTTGATCCCGAGCACCCAAAATGTTCTTCCAAGTCCTGCCAGTAATGATCCCTGAGCACAGAGTCAGGAGTAAGCTCTGAGCATCACTGGTTCCAAATCATGACCCCTACCCATTTTTTTTTTCAGAAAAAGAAAAGACAATGGTATCTAGAACTTAGATGAAATAATGGAATCACCAGTCCTAGTCCATATTATTTGTCACTGCATTTCAGATCTGCTAGTTGCTGTAAAATGGTTTTCGTGATGAAAACAGATGTTATTTGTTATTTGCATAATGATCCTGATCCTGTTGGGAAAAAAAAAAGTGCTGGCCCCTCTCTTACAAAGTAGGAAATTGGGCTCTGGCTAACCTGGGGTGATCTCTAGCACCCTATATGGTCCCCCAAGCACTGCCAGGAGCAATCCCTGAGCACAGAGCCAGGAGTTAAGCCCTGAGCACCATTAGGTGCGCTCTAAAAGTCCTCTCCTCAAAAATAAAAACAGAAGAGGGGGTAGTCGTAGTTGTCCTTACAGCTGTAGTTTCGGTCATCAGAGTTCCATAATCCTAGTCTCCTCTCAGACCTCAGAGTCTCCAAGGTCTCAACTTTCCCATGGTCACAGGACTGGTAAGTTGGGGACTTGAATTCCCGGTTTAAATCAAATCTAGATTAAAATATAGTTTTCACACTGCTTTATGCAACCCCTTATATTGAAATTTCAAAGAAAACTAAAAGCAGGATACTCACTTTCCAAATACTGTGTATTTCATGTCCAGATGTGGTTGCTTTCCATAAGTGATGAAGAACTGAGAACCATTGGTATTTGGGCCATTATTAGCCATAGATACAACACCTCTAACATTGTGCTGAAAAAGACAGACCAAAAAATTAGGTGGATTTTCTATTTTGGTTTGTTTTGTGTTTTTCGGCCACATCCAGCAATGCTTACGACTTACTCCTCTCTGCTGAAAATTCAGGTATGCAAATTTTGTGACTGAAATCTTCAGGCTTTCTAGGGGTTGGGATAGCCTACCTCCCCCTACCTCCCCCTGCCTCCCTGTATTTCAAAAAGCCCTGGCAGTCATGTCCACACCCCAAAACCACCACACCCAGTTTAAAAAAAAAAACTATTCTAGCTATACCTTCCCAATAAAAATACTGAATGCCCTGAGCAAACATGATGACCTCTTAGTACCAGTATTGCAAACCATAATGAGAGAGAAAGAAGAGAGAGAGAAAATTGGGGGGGGGGGGTGTTGGAGAGAGAAAGCAAGAACAATTGAGAGTGAGCAATCTAGAGAGAGAGAGAGAGAGAGAGAGAGAGAGAGAGAGAGAGAATATCCTGCACAGAGGCAGGTGGCAGGGAGGGGGTGGTTGGAGAGAAACTAGAGACATTGGTGTAGGAAATGTACACTGGTGGAGGAATGGGTGCTGGAGCATTGTATTACTAAAACTAAATCACGAATAGTTTTGTGATGGTTTATCTCACAGTGATTCAGTTAAAATAAATAAATTTAAACGTTGTTTTTTTGTTTTGTTTTGTTATTTTTACTTTTTTGGGTCACAGCTGGTGATGCACAGGGGTTACTCCTGGCTCTGCACTCAGGAATTACTCCTGGCAGTGCTCAGGAGACCATATAGGAAGCTGGGAATCAAACCTAGGTTGGCCTCGTGCAAGGCAAACGCCCTACCTGCTGTGCTATCACTCTAGCCCCAATAAAAAATTTTTTTAAAGCTAAGCTAGCACTTGTGAAGGGTGTGGTGCTGAAATTATGTACACAAAAAAACCAGTATTAGTAGTATGGTAAACCACTAAATCAATTACAACATTTAAAAAAAAAAAACTAGGCTAGGGGGCTGAAGAGATAGTACAGCTGGTAGGGTGCTTGCCTTGTCTAGGGCAGACCCAGGATCGATCCCTGACGCCCCAAATAGTCCTGAAGGCCACCTGGAGTAAGCCCTGAGCACTGTCAGGTGTGGCACCAAACCAACACCCTCCACCCCTCAAATCTGGGTACATTTGGGGCTGGAGCAATAGCACAGCGGGTAGGGCGTTTGCCTTGCATGCGGCCGAACTGGGTTCGATTCCCAGCATCCCATATGGTCCCCTGAGCACCGCCAGGGGTAATTCCTGAGCGCAGAGCCAGGAGTAATCCCTGTGCATTGCCGGGTATGACCCAAAAAGAAAAAAAAAATCTGGGTACATGGACAAATATACCCAAATAAAACACATTATGAAAAACTCCATCTTTATTCATGAGGACACAATAGAGACAATGACAGAGATGCAGGTGTATCAAGCTCAGGGCTTACTCCTGCCTCTGTGGTCACGAATTACTTCTGGAGATGGTTGGGGGACCATATGGGTTTCTGGGTATCAAAGCCGGTTGGCTATGTACAAGGCTATGTACAATACCCACTGTATTATCAATCCAGCCCAACATCATTTTTTAAGCCCCCTCAGTAGATTACTGATGAAAAATTTCAGGTTGAGCCCAAAGATGAATTAGTAAATATCAACATTCATGTGATCATGGGATTCCAATATATAATTTCAGCTATATCTGCCATGTCTTTCTGAAAAGGCATATTTATTTAGTAGTGATATATACTTGCATTACTATAGCATAGCAGCAACATTTTCAAGTGTAAGTGGCAAGAGAACACAGATTTTGAACTGTGGATGTACCTTGAGATATTCACTATATTCATCCTCAAACTTCCTGCCCCAAATACTGTTACCTCCTCTTCCAGTACCTACAGTAAAGACAAACAAAGCACTTAATTGAAGTGGAAATAATTTTTTATTTTCTAGACCCAACGTCATTTACAGTCTAATTCTTTAAATACAAATAAACCTTGTCCTCACAATTTATTTATTTATTTTTGCAATGCTGAGAACGAATCCTGGGTTCACACCTGAAAGATATACTCTACTACTGAATCAAAGCCGTGGTCCAAATATGAGTAAAAGTTCCTATGTTCTCTCTTACTTTCCACATTTTTTAATTTATTTAATTATCATTATTATTTTTTGTTTTGGGGACATACCCAGCAATGCTCAGGGGTTACTCGTGGCTCTGCACTAAGGAATTACTCCTGGCAATGCTCAGAAGACCATATGGGAAGCCACGATTAAAACTGGGTTAGTTGCGTGCAAGGCAAGTGCCCTACTGCTATATTATCTTTCAGCCCCTGAAAAATTTTGCTTCAAAGACGTTAGAAATATCTCTACAAAAGACCAAAAACACTCATGTTATCAGTATATATTTTTTATATTTCATATTTCTGTTTCAAAGAGCGAGGTGCTAAGAGCTCTGCTTAAGTTCTTCTTGCTACTGTGGTGGGGGAGGTGGTCAGAAGGAAACTGGAGACATTGGTGGTGGGAATTGTACACTGGTGAAGGGATGAGTGTTGGAACATTATATGAATTTTTCTTGCTACCTCATCTTTTATCTCTCTCTTTTTATACCACATACCTAATTTTCTCAAAATTAATGAGATAACTTACCCGTTGGATCTCCTGTTTGAACCATAAAACCCTTGATATTTCTATGGAATATACAGCCACTGTAGTAATTACTGGCACAAAGAGCCAAGAAATTCTGGGGAGTAAAAATAACAATTGAGAAATTATTTTAAAAGAAATACTTTTAAGATAAAGAACCATTCAATAAGAACATTTTTAAGAGCATTATTTAACCTATGATTTTTAGGCATTACTTTGACAATAATTAAAACATTTTAATGGCTTCATTCTTTTTTTGGAATAAATTCTATTTTTTTGTTCCAAATTCTATTTGGAACAAAATACAAATCTTCAACAAAAAACTACACAGCCTAACCTAGCTCTGCATCTTGTAAAATGAGTTTCCCTACTGCTTATAAAGTTAGCTCCATCAGTCTCATATCCTGGAATGTTTTTATATCTCTTTCCATAGAGATACCTTCATTATATTTCATTTGTTTTGTTTCGCAGCTACATATGTTGGTGCTCAGGGCTTACTCCTGGCTCTGTGCTCAAGGATCACTTCTTGTGGGACCATGTGTAGTGCTGGAGATCAAAGTTGGGTCATGCAAGGCAGAAGTTGCTTAACAGCTGTACTATCTCTCCAACCCTTATCTTTTTTCTTTTAATAAAAAACGATACAGGGTTTTTCTTTCTGGAGAAGCCCTTGTTCTCTACTGAACATGTATCTTTCTCTTTCGACAAATTTCTCTAAATTTCTTTCAATAAAAACTATTCTGTGGGGCTGGAGCGATAGCACAGCGGGTAAGGCGTTTGCCTTGCACACAGCCGACCCGGGTTCGATCCCCTGCATCCCATATGGTCCCCCGAACACCGCCAGGAGTGATTCCTGAGTGGATGAGCCAGGAGTGACCCCTGTGCATCGCCGGGTGTGACCCCCAAAAAAAAAAGCCAAAAAACAAAACAAAAACAAAACTATTCTGCTTGAGGCTGGAGTGATAGTACAGCGGGTAGGGTTTACCTTGCATGCGGCCAACCTGGGTTCATCCCTGGCATCCCATATGGTCCCCCAAGCACCGCCATGAGTAACTCCTGAGTGTAGAGCCAGGAGTAACCACTGAGCATCACTGGGTGTGACCCAAAACAAACAAACAAAAAAAGCCTATTCTGCTTCACACACACAAAGTATATATATATATATATATATATATATATATACACGTGTATATATATATATATGTATATTTTAATACTATTGAATCAGGAATACAATCAGGACTGCACAAACCCAGTCATCAAAGTACCAGTATTCCTCTACCACTATCTCTAGGACCCTTTCCTCTCTTTACTTCCACTTAGCATACTCAATTCTATATGCAAATTCTTAGGCTACTGTCAATGGTCATTGTTTATTTCCCCATTGTTTCTAAAATTGCACATGTGAGATTTATTCAGCAACTTGTCCTCTTTTTGACTCAGCGTGATACCCTCCAGCTCTCTCCAAGGTACTGCAAACCGCAACTTTTCCTCTTTAGTATTCTACTGTGTAAATATACTACAACTTCTTTATCCACACATCTGTTCTCAGGAACTTGAGTGCCCTGATTATCTTTTGAACTCAGCTTAAATGGCACTTTCTTGGTCAAGTCTGTCCTTTTTTTTTTTTTTTTTTTTTTTTTTTGCTTTTCTTTGGGTCACATCTGGCAATGCACAGGGGTTACTCCTGGCTCTACACTCAGGAATTATCCTTGGCAGTGCTCAGGGGACCATATGGGATGCTGGGAATTGAACCCAGGTCGGCTGCGTGCAAGACAAATGCCCTATCCGCTGTGCTATCGCTCCAGCCCCAGGCCTTTCCTTTAAAAAAAAAAAAATTATTATTTTTCTCTACCTGAATATTTTATAAGGCATTTTCAAACCCTAGAATTACTTTATTTTTTTTTAGAGTGAAGTCTCCCAGACCTCACCTATTTTCTCAGCTAGAATATCAATGCCATGAGGGCAAGTAATCTCTTGTTCATCATTATAAGATCCTGGAAAGCAGCTTTTCATAAATATTTCTTGAATAAATTAATATATGCAGCTAACACACTCTCTCTCTGGGTCACACTCAGCAGTGCTCAGGGCTTACTCCTTTCATAAATATTTCTTGAATAAATTAATATATGCAGCTAACTCTCTTTCTCTCTCTCTCTCTCTCTCTCTCTCTCTCTCTCTCTCTCTCTCTCTTTCTCTCTCTCTCCTCTCTTCTCTATTTGGGTCACACTCTGTAGTGATCAGGGCTTATTCCTGACTTTGTATTAAGGGATCACTCCTGGTGGGCTTAGGGACCATATGGGGTGACAGGGATCAAACTTGGGTTGGGTGCATGCAATGCCCTACCCACTGGACTATTAATCTGGCCCCTATAGCTAAGTCTTCATAGCTGTATCTGCCATTTTTTTGAATCACCTGCAACATCAAGAAAGGTAAATGTCAGTTTTGATCCTGGGCACCCCATATGGCTCCCAGAGCCTGCCAGTAGTGGTCTCTGAGTGCAGAGCCAGAGCACTGCTAGGTGTGGAACAAGAGCCCCACCTCCCTCCAAAAAGGTACACGGAAAATGGAAATTTTATAAAAAATTATGATAATTGATTGTTCATGACAAAGGTTTTATATAAAAGTCTTACTTTTTCTGAATGTAAAAAGTAAAATAGTTTCAAAGAAATTTACTTAGAGAAATATGAGGAGAGAGAAAGAAACAATGATTGAGAGAGAAGAGAGGCTTCTCCTTGGGGAGAAAAAGCTGGGAGTACACATCTTAGGTCGAGATGTGGGCTTATCTCTAGGGTGGAGAATGAGCCCAGAGAAATTTTCTTCTTGCTGTTGTTTTTAGGTTAGATAGTTCAACGTCAAAATGGCTATCATGATGCATTAATTCAATGTTTATAGCTACATCTTGGCACTCACCTCGCAGGTTTTGGGTGTCCTCTCACAGAAGACTTCTATTTTAATATCACCAACATCTGTATGCAATGTCACGGACTAAAAAGGAGACAAAGGGGGAGGGGGGATGAAAAAATACATAAATAAATAAAAAGAAAACAGAATGCAAGAACAAGGATGACTTTATAAACAGTATTCTTTCCCTGGTTGAATATTAAAGATAAAATCTGAATAAAATCAGGATTTCACAGATTATCTGTTCAAATAACAGTTCAAGTTATTTATATTTCTGGAAAATTTATTTCAGGGTTGGAGAGAGTACAGGACGTAAGAAACTTGTCTTCCATGTGCCTTATCTCCTGTACTATCTGAACAGGACCACTCCCTACTCGAACTCCTGATACCATACATGGTCCACAGAGCACCGCCAAGGGTCATTCACGAATGAGCCCCTGTTTTGTGTGGTCCCCAAAACCAAACCAAACAAACAAAAAAACTTCAGCTATAGATTATAACTCCAGAAGATAAATATGTTATGGTACAATGATATCTCTGCTAAAGACTTGGGAGCAAATATTGTGATGGGAATAATTACTTTAAATTTGACATTTTCATAATCTGAAAGCAATTTTTATGTATTGTCCATTTTACCAACACTATTAATATTTATTGAAAAACAGAAAGAATGTCTCTTTTAAAGGGAAGACTGGATATCCTTGCCTTGTACTTGATGTCACAGAGAATTCTTTCAGTTTTCCATTATTAGGGATAATACTGGGGCTAGAGCAATAGCACAGCAGATAGGGCGTTTTCCTTGCAAGTGGCTGACCCAGGTTTGATCCCCCAATGTCCCATATGGTCCCCCGAGCACCACTAGGAGTAACTCCTGAGTGCACAGCCAGGAGTAACCCTTGAGTATTGTCCTGTATGTATGACCCTCTTTCCCCCACAAAAAAGGATGATACTGGCTGTGGGCTTAGTACAGATGTAGATGGCTGTTATTACACTGAGGAAGGTTCCTTCTAGAAAAATGTCTCTTTTAAAACAGTTTTCAACTTGCCCTTCAAGCTCATGTTCTCTCTTGAACATTTATCTCTGCTTGCCTATCTCTAAGTTTCTTTGCTTATTTTCACTCTGGAGAAGCCTGTGTTCTTCCCCTCACATCCATCTAAATAAATTTCAATAAAAACTACCTTGCTTTACAAAAAGTTTTTACTAAGAGGGTTATCAAAAAATTTATTTTTTAACTAAAAATAACAATAAAGCATCAATGTTTCTAGATCCTTTATGTAGAGATAACCTCTTTCAAGAGCTACTTGCTTTACTTGGTGTCTTTGGGACCCCCTCATACTCTGATAGCTATTCCATTCCAGAGTTTGGGAGCATGGGGGCGCATGCTAGTCTGCCACTTTCTTATTCATTTCCCCTTTTACAACAGTATTTAGCAGTTAAGAGTATGGCAGGACTGAAGACCAAGGGCAAGGCGTGTGTGTTGTAGTAAGGGTGCACAGGGTAAAATCATCATTGCTTTCTTCAAGCTCCTTATGTAAGAGCAAAAGGAACAACTAAAATAATCACATCTGGCTATAGTCTTCCCATCTCTATCTCCCATCTCTATCAGTCTTTTCCCATAAAAAGCCAATTCTGTGCTTTAAGTGAACAAAGTAATTAATTTTAAAGTAATTTTACTTTTTTCTTGGCTTTATTTAGAATCATCAGTTTACACTGTATCATTTTCCGATCTTGTTATGAAAATTTCCATAAGGTTTTATTGCTCTTTGTTACATTTCTTAAACTTACAATTACAGAAGTAAAAGAATCCTATGAAATTTACCATTTTTCTTCTTAATGGTGTCAGAAAGAACTGCTACTTAGCTGCTCACAGTATTCAGGAGACAGTCAGAAATGAGTCTCTAGTCCCAAAAAAGAAAAAAAAATAGGATTAAATTCTCTTTCTTGCCAATGCACTCTTCAAAAGCCTCTTCTTCGCCTGTCCTCCAAGTGAGGTACATTCAGGTTCTGGGGATTAGGCACCAGATGCTTTCCTGTGCCTAGGACTTAGTCTCACAAGAAAGCTGCGACTAAGTTCTTCACTTCTACCTATCTGCTGAGCTGGTCAAATCTCTTTGACCAAATAATTCTATTTACTTGGTTTCTGGGCCACACTCACAGATACTCAGGGATTACTCCTGGCTGTAATTGGGAGATCACATGCAATGCTGGGGATTGAATTTGGGGGAGCTGCGCACAAGGAAAGCGCCCTATTTCAGTACTATCTCTCTGACCTCTAATAAATTTATTTAAAACGACCTTAACTGGGGCTGGAGCGACAGCAGAGCTGGTCGGGCATTTGCCTTCTACGCGGCCAACCCGGGTTCGATTGCCAGCATCCCATATGGTCTCCTAGCACCACCAGGAGTAATTCCTGAGTGCAGAGCCTGGAGTAACCCCTGTGCATCGCTGGGTGTGACCCAAAAGGAAACAGAAGAAAAAAAAAAAGACTTTAACTCTAACACCTATTCTATTTCCTTTCTCACGCAGCAGTTGCCATCAAAAATTAATTAAGTCTATCGGTTCCAACAACCTTCCTGCCAGTGTTCAAGCAGTCCAAGAACTGAAACGCACAATTTTATTTTATTTTAACTTTTTGGGTCACACCCGGCGATGCACAGGTCTTACTCCTGGCTCTGCACTCAGGACTTACTACTGCAGGTGCTCGGGGGACCTGGGATGCTAGGACTCGTACCCACGTCCACCGTGTGCAAGGCAAATCGCTCCAGCCCCTGAAACGCACAGTTTAAAAATGAATGAATGAACAAATGACATTACCCCATACTTACGAAAAACCGTTGGAGCAACACCGCGTTTAAAACAAAAACGAAGCTCCCATAGACCACCCAGACTGCAAGTCGGCGTCTTTGGGCCACCGAAAGTTGCGCGCGGATGTCATTAGACTCCAGAAATGCCCATTACCTGTATGCTCTCTTCTCCGCTCCTCCCTATCTTAAAACGAACAAGCAGAATTAGGGGAGACAGTTTAAATTATCCACCTGGGATAGGTTAACCTGACAGCAAAGGGAGCTCGTGAAATTATCCCACTAGGGCAAAAAGCGCAAGCCGGAACTCCGTGGCGCGACCTCCAGAAGTACCCTTGGGTAAGTAAAATGAGAAGGACCACTTCCGGTAGGGCCTCCCGCCCCAGTTCCGTCTCTCCGCTCGAGAACTTCGGCGCGGGGCCGGAAGTGACACGTGACACTGCTGAGGGAAATCTTTGTGGAATTGGTGAGTTTGGGCATTTAAGGGCATCTCGTGTAGATGAAGGTGCTTGATAGTTCGTGCGGCTGTGGATGTTCGGCAGTGCTGCCCTAAAGAGAAGCCGAAGAGAAGACTAGAGCAGAAAACTGGGCAGCCGCACGGGATTGGTGGGCGGGGTCCGGACTTTTCTTTTTTTTTTTTTTTTTTTTATGGTCTTTGCTATTTTATTTTATTTATTTTTTTTCTTTTTTTTTCCCTTTATTGTATTTTATTTTTTTTTTAAAGTTGTAGATTTACAGTTTTATGTGCTTTGGTTTCAATTATACAATGATCAGATACCCATCCCTCCACCAGTGCCCATTTTCCACCACCATGGATAATATCCCTCCCACCCCCATCCCCCCATCCCCCCTGTCTCTGTGGCAGGGCAATCCCCTGTGTTCTCTCTCTCCTTTTGGGTGTTGTGGTCTGCAAAAGAGGCATTGAGTGGCAAACATGTTCAGTCCATAGTCTACTTTCGACATGCATCTCCCCTCCTGGGAGGATCCTCCAAACATCCTTTATTTGGTGCTCCCTTCTCTATCTGAACTGCCCTTTCCTCTAGGATACCCGGCTGGCCTCTAAGTTATGGAGTAATCCTCCTGGTGCTGATCTCAGCTATTCTTGGGTATTAATCTCTTACTTTGTTACTTTATATCCCCCAGATGAATGCAATCTTTCTATGTCTATCCCTCTCTTTCTGACTCATTTCGCTTAGCATGATACTTTCCATATTGTACCACTTGTATGTAAATTTCATGACTTCATCTTTTCTAAGAGCTACATAGTACTCCATTGTGTAGATGTACCAAAGTTTCTTTAACCAGTCATCTGTTCTTGGGCACTCAGGTTTCTTCCAGTTTCTGGCTATTGTAAAGAGTGCTGCAATGAACAAACAAGTGCAGATGTCACTTAGACTATACATTTTTGCCTCTCTGGGATATATTCCCAGGAGTGGTATTGCTGGGTCAAATGGGAGCTCAATTTCTAATTTTTTGAGAATCGTCCATACTGTTTTCCAGAAGGGCTGAACCAGTGGACATTCCCACCAACAGTGAAGGAGTGTCCCTTTCTCGCCACATCCACGCCAGCATCGGTTGCTTTTGTTCTTTTGAATGTGGGCTAGTCTCTGAGGTGTGAGATGGTATCTCATTGTGGTTTTGATCTGCATCTCCCTGATGATTAATGATGTAGAGCATTTTCTCATGTGCTTTTTTGCCATTCGGATTTCTTCTTTGAGAAAGTTTCTGTTCATTTCATTGCCCCATTTTTTGATGGCGTTGGATGTTTTCTTCTTGTGGAGTTTAACCAGTATTTTGTATATCCTGGATATCAACCCCTTGTCAGATGTGTATTCGGCGAATATCCTTTCCCATTCTGTAGACTGTCTTTGTATTTTGGTCACTGTTTCTTTGGAGGTGCAGAAGCTTCTTAGTTTAAGATAGTCCCATTTATCTATCTCTGTTTTCACTTTCTTAGTGTCTGAGCCTCCTGGGCTTTTTTGTGATCCTGAAATAGATCGAAAGTGAAGTGTGGGGTAGTCGGGGGCGGAGCGATAGTACAGTGGGTAGCTTGGATGCGACCATCCCAGGTTTGATCCCCAGCATTTCATGTGGTACCCCCACCCGTCGGGTGTGACCCCTGAGTGCAGCGCCAGGAGTAAGCCCTGGACACCGCTAGATGTGACCCCGGATCCCAAATGTGAGGTTGATGAGGTAGTGTAGGATGGTGCAGTACGCCGCCTGTACAGTGGGCCCTCCTAGTGTCACTTAAGGCTAACCTCCGCCGCGCTGACTGTACCAGGTTGTTCTCAGCTTGTTGAGCTGGGTGCTAGATCCGTTCTGCAGAGGGAGATGCGCGGGGTTCAGTAATTTGTAATACAGCAATGGCTCGGTGTGCAATCGTTCTGGTTTTAAATTACTCTTATCCACGTCTTCCTGTGCGCCCTCCCACTGCTGTACTTGGCGCCTTCAAGCAGGTCCTGATTTGTGATGTGGAGGTGTTCAACCAGGTAACCCTGTACAAGGGCTCTAGCAAATGTATGATGGTGAAGAACTCAAACCCGTTTGCTGGCCCAGTGGAGACCTCCCCTTAGCTCTTTGCCAGATTTGGGAGATTTGGAGCAGTAGTAATTGAGAGCCATTGAGTCCCGGGTGTACCTGTGGCAGAGCAGAATCCTGCATGTGAGATCCTGGATTTGAGCTGCATTGCAAGAAAAAAAGAGAGACCATTGCAGGTCAGTCAAGATTCAAGGCTAGAGTGATTTTCTTTCCTTTTCTCTTGAAGTTCCATATCTCATGAAATCATATTAAATAAAACTCAAGTCTTGGGCTAGGGAGATAGTACAGTGGGTAGAGTGTTTGCCTTGCATGCAAATGACCTGGGTTCTATCCCTGGCACACATAGGTCTCTGAGCCCACCAAAAATGATCCCTGAGCACTGTCAGTTGTGGCCTAAACAAACATGAAAACCCCACATTTGAAATACTTTTGCTGTAGAAATTTTGGGAAAATCTGCTCTTTGTTAATCATCATTTGGTCATATGTATTTCCTAAAATTCACTATTACTGACTGATTTCTTTTTGTGCTTGCAATGACTTTGTTCAAAAATAACATAGATATTAAATTTAAGAATGGAGTCAACAGTGTTACTACTTGATCTTGAGTATATATTTTATAATTTTGGAGTTTTCATAGTTAGAGCCAACCATTTGTTAAAATTTTAACTCCTTGCTATTCTTCCATCTTTTCTCTTTTTTTTTTTTTCCCAACCTTTCTGGTTTTCTTGTATGAAGGTGTTCAGAAGGTTCACATACTGGACCAAATGCCCACACATTCACTGCTGCTATCTCTTGATCAGGCCTTGGATAACAAATGTTGTTTTTTGAGACCTTTTGGAGTCTTGATTCTGCATCTTTCTAGAGTGACCCGCCTGACAGAAATCCAATAATAACACCAGTAAAACCAGTGAGTTGCAGTAGTAATTAGTTTATCATGCACAGTCAAAATGAAAGTTTATAAACTGGGAACACACAAACCAAAACACAACAGAGCTCAAATTTACATTGTTAGCAGTTTATATTTTAGGAGGCAATAACTTTTTGTTTCTTATTTATTTATTTATTTGCTTTTCGGGTCACACCTGGAGATGCTCAGGGATTACTCCTGGCTTTGCACACAGGAATGACTCCAGGCAATGCTCAGGGGACCATATGGGATGCTGGGAATCGAACCCAGGTCAGCCGCGTGCAAGGCAAATGCCCTACTGCTGTGGTATCACTCCAGCCCCTTGTTTCTTTTTTAATAGTGAATAGCTGTATTAGACTTTTTATTTTAACGACATGAAATTGGTTAGTTAGTTACCTCACCAACTTTGGGAAACAGGTTAAATTTTATGATTTTTAGAGGTTTTGTAAGAAATTACTCTGATCTAGTCTTATAAAATAATCTAAGCTTTGTGTGGTGACTTTTTAAAAATTTTTTCCAATTTTATTTTTATAAAGTTCACAATAATTGATTACATTCAATATGTCAACACCAGTCCCATCACCATTATTTTGAATTTTCCCATCACCACTCAAGCCTGCCCCACATGCAGATGCTAAACTATTTTGTATTGCTTGTTATGAATAGTATGAGATGTTTACCTGGAATTCTAAAATTTTAAATAATTGGGGTTCAGAGGCATCTCTGCGGCATGCTGCTCTCTTCTGAGAATCATTTGTGAGTCTCTGAATCATGGCTGTTAATGTGCTTAAATCATACCCAGACGCAGTTCTTGGGTGTGACTGCCAGGAACTGCCTCTGGGTACGATTTAAGGGTGGGGAGATGGGAGGAAGGTACCCCATCCCCAATTCCATGAAGCCTGGAGTTTTCAGTCACAGGTTCCGCATACCTGGGTATTTCAGCGGATTCATTCTCATGTGTGTGGGGCTCTCAGGATGAGCCTGTGAATGTTGAATGTCGGCCGTGAGTATGGCAGCGGTTAGGTTCAAGTTTGCGGCTGTGGAGCAGGCAGAGGGACATTCCTGCCCACCTCTGAGGTACCCCAGTGAAATCAGCGTGTTGTGGGGTGGGGAGACATCTCTGCAGCCTTCTGCTCAAGATATTCCAAGGTTCATTTGTGAGTCTCTGAATCATGGCCATTAATGCACTTATATGGTAACCTTTTATCTGTGCAGAGAAATTTCAAGGCTGGTTTCCTTGATACAGGGTGCTGTAAGAGCCTGTACTTCAACCCAAGTATATTTGACTATAGCCCCTTTGACTATAGATGTTGCTGTGCCACAAATCTAGGTCATGTGTACCTCCTCTGAACTATGCCTCTGTTTTGACTTCAGATGCTGTATTACCTGACTTCTGTATGTTGTCATCTTGTGCACTCCTGGTCCCTACCAAAATCCGTTGCGTTCATCCCCTGATCTGCCATTCTTCTCGTTCCTTCATGGATTTGAAGGCTCTTCTTGCCTCCTTGAATGACTTTGCGTCCCTTTCATTTGCTGAGAGTTGGGACAATGTTGGATTACTGGTGGAACCAAGTCCACCCCATACTGTGAACACTCTCTTCCTAACCAATGACCTGACTGAGGAAGTGATGGAGGAAGCTCTGCAAAAGAAGGCAGATCTCATTCTCTCCTACCATCCACCAATTTTTCGACCCATGAAGCGCATAACCTGGCAAACCTGGAAGGAACGCTTGGTAATTCGGGCCCTGGAGAACAGAGTCGGAATCTACTCTCCTCACACAGCTTATGATGCTGCACCCCAGGGAGTTAACAGCTGGTTGGCAAAAGGACTTGGTGAGAAGCCTTTTGTTCTTCTACTTTTAATGATTTATCTACAGATGTTTAAAATTTTGGCATATTTGTTCACAAGTGTTCTGTGTTAGCAATGGGGAACGTTAGACTGTTAATATTTTAAAAAAATATTGCTAAAACCTGGCAACTGAATTGCATTTGAGAAATGAAGTTTTAGTCCTGGATCAGGAGAGTATATAAAGTCCTCACAGTCCACTGAGCACTGTTCAGAGTGATTCCTGAGTGCAGAGTCAGGTGTAACCACATGCGCTCCCCAAAACCCAACAACAACAAAATGCTGATTCAGTTGAAAGTTTAGATTTCTCCAGAATGTCCTTCATATGTATAGACATCAAAGTTTTATTGCATGCTTATTTATACTCAGCACAATGAAAGAATTCAATGTTTTTTTTTTGGCAGGGGGACATACTAGGTGATTTGAAAGGCAAGCATGCTGCCCACTGTACTGTTGCTCCAGCCCAAGTGTTCAATTCAATCTTATTAGTTTACAGACTTGAGGTAAAAGCTTTTTTTGGTTATGTAGCCTTCATTAGTATGGTTAAGTATATCTTGAGCAACTAGAGCCTGAGTTGTGGCTTGCGTGAGTAAAGTTAGTAGTCACAAATTTACCTATTATCTAAAAGTCAATGAACCAGAGTTTCTCTTTTAAGTTATTTTTTGGGTTTTGGACCATACGCATTGATGCTCAGAGCTTATCCCTTGGTTTCTGCTCAGGGATTACTCCTGGCAGGGCTTAGAGACCATATTTGGTGCTGGGGATTGAGTCCAAGTGGCCCGGTGCAAGGCAAGGCAAGTGCCATACCTATCACTCTTGCCCAGGAAGAAATCTTTTTATAAATGTGAATTTCTTGTATTTTTCCCCTAATAGTTTATTTTTGTTTCTCCCCTCCCCTCCAAAAGAAAAGTCCCACAAAAATCCATTTTCCTTCAAATTTTTTCCCCAGGAGTTTGCACCTCCAGGCCGATACATCCTTCCAAAGCTCCCAACTTCCCGACGGAGGGAACGCACAGAGTAGAATTCAATGTCAGCCATAGCCAGGACCTGGACAAAGTCATGGCTACAGTGAGAGGAATTGCCAATGTTTCTGTTACGTCTCTTTCGGCTAGGTACAATATATTTTTCACTTTTGTGTGTGTGTATTTGTAAAGGTTTGTAATAGAATCCTGTCACTCTGATATTTAGATTTGAAGCAAATAATTTTCCTAGGGGGGTGGGTTTATAAAGTAGCATCTCATTTGCTTGAAGCTCTTGAAGAGAGCAATAATACAGTGAAAACAAAGCCACATTGACTATTTTCTGTGGGTAAGGAATCCTACTGCTGACTTAACATCATTTATAATAGTTCTTTTTTTCACTTTTGTTTGGTTCGGGCCACATCTGACTGCTCAGGCCTTACTCTTAACTGCACTCAGGGATCATTCCTTGTAGGGCTCAGGGGATCATATGTAGTGTCTGGCATTGAACTGGGGGCACCCATGTTCAAGGCAAGCACCCTCACCTCTCTAATGTCTCTGTACCCATCTCTACCCACCCCTCCCCACACACACACCAAATGTTTTGTTTTACTGATTCTGTACAGAATCCAACAGTGAACATTTCAAGAAGCTAGCTAGATGCTTCTGATACAACAATTTTAGAATACTAGTTTCAAAGTGAAGTTCCTGGACCAGCAACATCAGCACCAAAGAGGGACTTGTTAGAAAGGTTAATTCTCAGGCCCCAGATAGACCTGCTGAATGGAAAGCAGGTGGGCTCAGCTGACAGAGAAGTCTGTGAGGTAATTTTCATGCATGCCAAAAATTGAGAAACTCTGTTCTAGAAAGTAGATTGGTTTGGAATTAAATCCAGCATTCCATATAATTCTAACCAACTGTAGGAATTTTGTATATTATTTACACAGTACATCTCGTTTTTGTTTTTTCTAAACTATCATGTGACTCTTTCTTTAGTACGGATGAAGAAGAAACACGGGTCAGTCTGAACTGTAATCAGCAGGCTTTGATGCAAGTGGTGGATTTTCTTTCACAGAACAGACAACTTTATCAAAAGACTGAAATTCTGTCGCTGGAAAAGGTAATTAAAACTCTTCCATTATTGATGTTTTTTTTTTTTGTGGTTGTTGTTTTTGCTTTTTGGGTCACACCCGGCAATGCTCAGGGGTTACTCCTGGCTCTGTGCTCAGGAATTACCCCTGGCGGTGCTCAGGGGACCATATGGGATGCTGGGAATCAAACCCGGGTTGGCTGCATGCAAGGCAAATGCCCTGCTCGCTGTGCTATCGCTCCAGCTCTCGATTATTGTGTATTTTGGCTTGGCATATTTATTTATACATTTTAAGTCAATAAGCTATTAGCCATCAACTAAAGAAGTACAAAGTGGTGATTGAGGGTATAATATTCCCTGGCAAGCATATTGAGAAAGGAAGTGTTTCATGGATAGAAAGATGCTGGTACTTGTCATTGTCCACTTGGGCTGCTATAACACATTTGGGCCACTGTAACAAAATTCAGATTGGATAACTTATAAATTACAGCTCTTTATTTCTCACTTTGGAATGTTTAAAAATCTTAAGATCATGGCAACTGCTGATTCTGAATGGTGTCTGAAAGGGTCACTTCAAACGGTAGGAGTTAGGAATCTCTCTGGAGCCTCCTTTATTTGGAGCTAAGGAGGTGTCCACATGTGGCCATGCTCAGAGCTTAGTCCTGGGCTCAGGGATCACTCCTTTTAGGACTCAGGATCATATGGGATGCCAGCGATTGAATCCACGTTGGCCATAAGCAAGGCAAGTAACCTGCCTGCTGTATTATCTCCAGCCTCAACACTTCAGTTCTGCATAACCAACTGTGTCCTGGACCTGCCATCAGTGTGTATGTCCTCTGCTCAGTCATTTTCCACAGCTCACTCTTACCCTAGCCTACCACGCTGCCCTTGACAGCACTTTTTTATTTTTCGGGGGGGTACCACAGTGGGGCACCATGGTTGGAGGGCCATGCACTGCAATGTGCAGGTGTTACTCCTGGCTCTGCACCAGAAATCACTCCTGGCAGTGCTTGTGGGTCCATCAGGGATGCTGGGGATTGAACCCCGGTTGGCCCATGCAAGGCAAATGCCCTACCCATTATACTATCACTCCAGCCCCGATAGTACTTCTTTCTAAGCTGCTTTGTGATCTTGCTTTAAGACCTGAGTCCTTGTAAAAGTTGTTTATCCAGGGCTGGAGTGATAGTACAGCAGGTAGGGCATTTGCCTTCCACGCGGCCAACCCAGATTTGATTTCCAATATCCCATATGGTCCCCTGAGCACCGCCAGGAGTGATTCCTAAGTGCAGAGCCAGGAGCAACCCCTGTGCATCGCAGGGTGTGACCCAAAAAGCAAAAGAAAAAGTTTTTCCTCCTTTTTGGGGTGTGGGCAGAGGGGGAAGTGGAGGGGAGGATTGGGCCACACCTAGCTGTCTCAGGGCTTATTCTTGGTTCTGTGTTCAGGGATCATTCTTGGTGGGGCTTGAACTCGGGTCAGCTGTGCCCTCTCTGACCCAAAACCTTTCACATTTCCCCCAAGTATTCCCCTCCATGGATCTCAGCTTAATTATCTTGCCATTCCCCCATGTTCCCCTTCAGCACCTATCTTGTATTTAAACACCTGCCTTCCCAAGTGACTGAATACTCAGCAGACAGTGTTTTGGTCAGGATTGCATTACCAAGTTTTAGTTTTTGCTATTGGAAGCTCACAGTATGCGTGCTTTACTGACCTTAGCATTTGCTCTTTGCTCTTTTTGATTTTGTGTCACTCTTGACCGTGCTCAGGAGTTACTCCTGGTTCTGCACTCAGGAATCACTCCTGGTGGTGTTGGGGAACCATATGGGGTGCGGGGGAGTGAACCTGGGTCAACTGCAACATTTTACCCACTGTTCTATCACTTTGGCCCCTGCTCTTTTCTTTTATAGGTCTATTTTCTTGTACTAATGATGGACTATGTTGTTAAATTCCTATGTTCCTTCAGCCTCCGCTTCTGCATACTGGAATGGGACGGTTATGCACCCTGGATGAATCTGTCTCCTTGGCAACCATGATTGAACGAATCAAACAGCACCTCAAGCTACCTCATGTTCGCCTTGCTCTTGGGGCAGGAAAGACTTTAGGTAAATATGATCATTTTATTTTGTCTTATATATCTTCTGATACTGTTAGGCAGGGCTGGAGCGATAGCACAGTGGGTAGGGCGTTTGCCTTGCAAGCAGCCAACATGGCTGACCCGAGTTCGATTCCTCTGCCCCTCTCGGAGAGCCCGGCAAACTACCGAGAGTATCTCGCCCGCACGGCAGAGCCTGGCAAGCTACCCATGACATATTCAATATGCCAAACACAGTAACAAGTCTCACGATGGAGACGTTACTGGGCCCGCTCGTGCAAATCGATGAACAACGGGAGGACAGTGACAGTGACTGTTAGGCAAAAGTTGAAATTCTTGGTTGTATTAATGTATGTTACAGAAAGGGGCCTGGAGAGATAGTAAAGGTAGGGCACCTGCTTTACATATGGCTACTGGGGTTCAATCGCCAGCACCTCCTATGGTCCCCTGAGACTGCCAGGTCCCCAGAGCACAGAGCCAGGAGTAAGCCCTGAGCACAGCAGAGTGTGACCCCAAAACTCTGTGTGTGTGTGTGTGTGTGTGTGTGTGTGTGTGTGTGTATGCATGTACATATATACGTGTGTCTATATGTGTGTATATATACAGTATATACGTACACATATGTATATATCATAGAAAACATTTTAGCAGCTCATAGGAGAGGACTGGTTTACTCTGTCAGTATGTCTAAATTGTGCTGTGGGCAACACCTCATTGGCTTAAACAGTTTTTTTTTTCCCTTAGTCACACTCCATGTTCATCTTAAGTTAGCAGTAGACTATGAACTGGTTTTTGTTTTGTAGTTTTAACACAGTGGCTTGCAACCTTTTTATACCTACAGGTCAGTAAAAATTATTTTGGGGTTGGAGAGATGGTACAGGGGTTATGGTGCTTGCCTTGAATGTGGCTGAGATGTATGTTCAAGAGAGAATACAGCCTGGATGAGCAAGCCATATTTTTAAAATAAAATTAGTAGAGAAAGCTCAGTGGCTGGGAGCATTCTTGGCATATAGGAAGCCCAAGTGTAGTCGCTGGCACCGAAGTTCCCCACTTACTTCTGGGTGTGATCCTAAAACCAAAATAATAAGCAATTACATTTGGGTGAGGGAGGGGTTGGTCCACACTCCTCCCCTGGGAAACGTGGTATCCTGGGGGATTAAACCCAAGCCTCCTTTTGCATGTAAAATATGCATCCCAGTCCGTTTTTTCTTTTCAGCATCACATTTAGAATTCTTGCTACAAGTTTTGAAAATTTTGAGGGGGTGGGAGCAAACCCAGAGGTCCTCAGGGCTGTGCTCAGGGATTACTTCTGGCGGAACTTGGGGGATCATATGTGGTGCTGGGGAATCAAACTCATGTGGCAACATGCAAGGTAAGAGTCCTACCCACTGTACTATCTATCACTCTGGCCCAGATATAAGTTTTAATATTAAAATGAAGTATAATTTTATAATACTGGTCTTGTGTTTATTTATACTGAAGAGTCTCAAGTGAAAGTGGTGGCTTTGTGTGCTGGCTCGGGGAGCAGTGTTCTGCAGGGAGCAAAGGCTGATCTTTACCTCACAGGTAGGAGACTGTCTTGGGTCATTTCTACCCGTTTTTACTGTATGCTTTCTCAAATTTGGTTTGAACCAACTGAAAATGCATGTAATCATTAGCACTCATGTAATGCATAATTGTCTCCTCATAGATGTGACTTTTTGAAACTATTTTTTCATTATGCTCCTTTACAATGAGAAAGAGGCAATTCAAAATGTTTAAAATGCCTTTTCAGCAAACAGTGTTGAGATAACTGTAAGTCATATCATGTGAAAAAAAACCTTTCTTTTTTTTTTAAATAGGACTTCTATTTATTTTTATTTATTTATTTTAATTTTTATTAGTGAGACACCATGAGGTACAGTTGTAGACTTACAAATTTTTGTGCTTGGGTTTCAATTATACAATGATCAAATACCTATCCCTCCACCAGTGCCCATTTCCCACCATCACGGATCCCAGTATCCCTCCCACCCCCCATCCCCTCATCCTACCCTACCTCTGTGGCAGGGCATTCCCTTTTGCTCTTTCTCTCCTATTGGGTGTTGTTGTTTGCAAAAGGGCAATGGGTGGCAATCATGTATGGTCTATGGACTGCTTATATTTATTTAGCCACTGATTTAGTTAACTGAAGCTGACATGAACTCCACATTACATTTTTTTCTTTTTTAATTTTTTTATTGAAGATCCGTGAGATAGACCATTACAAAGCTATTCATGATTGGGTTACAGGGATCCAATACCCATCCCTCCATCAGTGTACATCTCCTACCATCAATGTCCCCTATTTCTCTCCTACCATCCCCAAACCTCCCAACCTTCTGCACTCCCAGCCTTCCTCTATTTTTGTGCATTATGGTTTGCAATACAGGTACTAAGAGGTCATTATGTTTGTTTAGGGCATTCGGTATTTTTATCGGGACTCTAAGACTGGGGTAGCTTTTTAACTTGGTGGCAGCTTTGGGGTATGGACGTGACTGCCAAGCCTTTTGCAAGGACAAGGAGGTGGGAGGGAGGTAGCCCATCCCGACCCCAAGAAAGCCTATAATTTCATCACAAAACTCGCATACCAGGTTTTCAGCAGATTATATCTTGGTGAAGTCCGTTCATAGACAGTGGAGTTAGGGCAGGAACATGGCAGTGCTTTTAGAAGCAAGCAGCTGCTAGGGGGTTCTGCTTGGGTAGGCACCAGACTGACCCGCTCCCCTTTAATTTACCCCAGTCTGTTCAGCCTTGCACATGCAGACCCCTTTCTAGCACATGCACAAGTCAAATTAAAATGGATTAAAATACTTGAGATCGGATGTGAATCCATCAATTATGTCGAGGAAAACATAGGTAGAGCACTCTATGACATTGAAGCTAGAGGTTCTTTAATGATTCAGTGCCTTTGACTAAGCAACCAGAAGCAAAGATTGACAAATGGGACTGTATCAAACTAAGAAGCTCCTTCTTTTGTAGAAGAAACAAGAACCAGAATAAATAGACATCCGTCACACTGGGAGAGAACATTTGCCTACCCCTCATTTGGTAAAGGGCTAATAGCCAACACTGATAGAAGTTTACAAAAAAAAAAAATTAACCCCCTCCAAAAATTGAGGTGGAGTGGGAATAAGCAGAAACTTCCTCAAAGACATACAGATGGCAGAAGCTATATATAAAAAGACTCTAAATCACTTATCATTAGGAATCTACAAATCAAAACAAGATACTATCTCACACCAGTGAACGTGGCACATATCACAGCACAAAAACAACCAGAGTTGGCATGGATATGGGGAAAAAAGACCCTCATTCATTGCCAGTACAAGTGTCAGTTAATTCAACCTTCTGGAAAACATTATGGACAACTTCTCGATAAACAGGGAAGTAAGCTTTCATATGACTCAGCAGTTCCACTCCTTGGCATCTATCCAACGGGTTCAAAAACTATTCAGAAAATACATTTGTATCTCTTGTGTTCACTGCAGCACTATTCACAATTGCAAAGATCTAGAAGCAACCCAGGTGTCCAAGAAGAGATGACTGGGTAAAGAAAAAACAGTATACGGGGCCAGAGTGAGTAGGGAGCTTGCCTTGCACATGGCTTGGGTCCCCAACACCATGTATGGTCCCCTGAGCCCCACCAAGATTCCTGGAACTTGATAGTACAGCAGGTAGGGCTATTGCCTTGCACACAATCAACCTGGTTTCAAATGCTAGCGTCCCTGAGCATCACCAACTGTAGCCCAATTTTAAAAAAGGGAGTGGGGGGTGGAAAATCCCTGAGCACAGAGCCACTGAGTCTGGCCCAAAAAGAAATGTACAAATCAAATACTTGGCTATAAAATGAAATCATGCAATTCATGCTGAGATTAGTCAGTCAAAAGGAAAGGGACAGACAGAGTGATCTCTCATAAGTGAGAGAAATACATTAAAGAAACACATGTGACACTCCTTTCTATCCTTCAGCAACATACACAATTCCTAACATTTTAAATGTATTGGGATGGTGATACAGAGGTTAAGGCACCTGCCTTGTATGTTCCCAGTCTAGATTTGGTCTCTGGTATCACATGACCCCCCTCCCCCGCCTCAGGCCTTTGCATCAGCTGAATGGCCTAGTTGACTGAATGGCTCAGTTGGTTATCTGGAATGGCTGCCAGCCACTGAGCACTAGTTGGGAGCTTCCCCACCAGACTACCAAAATATTTACATGAGACTTTTCTATGTGGAGAGCTTTTGCTTAGGGCTCACTCTTGGCAGTGCTCAGGAGTCATCTGGTGCTGAGGATCCACCCTGGGTTGGCTGCATGTTAGGGAAGCACCTTACCCACTATACTATCTCTCTGGCTCCTCCCTAAAACCTCTTAGCAAAAGATAACCTACCAGTAACTTTAGTTTCTAAGAATTTTCCTACGTCAAAAGGAAATCTCTTGTGTTTAACTTATAAATAACTTCAACTCATTTCGTGCAGAATTAGACTGTGGTCAATGCTAATAACTTAGATGCTCACAAAGCACAAAGTTATCTTCTAGGACAACAGTTTTCAGATGCTGGTACTTAGACCATGGACAGTGTATAGAAGTCTGATGTTTCATAATGTTACTGCCACTTAACATATGGTATGCCTGGATCATGTGCTATTACGAGTGTGTGTGTGTTTTGCTGGGAAGTGAAACGAAAGTCTTTATTGAAACTTACTTAGAAAGACGTGAGCAGAGAGAAATAAGTATATGTTTGAGACAAAAGCCTGTGTTGACTTCTGCAGAGTGGAAAAAGGAAACAAAGGCCTATAATCTTAGCATAATGGTCTTTATTTCTCAGTGGCCCATGGGGTATTTTTCTTATCACTTATCTACAAGTGTAAAAGATCAAGGGTGTGCATGTGTGCATGCCACAACCAGTGATGCTCAGGGCTTATCCTGACTGCTTAGGGATCACTCCTGGCTGGGTTTGGGAGACCATTAATGTGATACTGGTGATCAAACCTAGGTCAGCTGTACACCTTACCTGCTGTACTCTCTCCAGCCCTATCTAGGATTTTCTTATGCATCTGTTACGCTTTCTGAAAGTACCATATTAGTTGCTGTCATTTATTTCATTGTGGAGCTTTCTGAATTTCACAGGATTTGGTTCTGGCATTATTTCTATACTTCATTAGATATTTGGGTTTGGAGACTTGTATACCAGCCAAGAACTTGAGATTCTCAATGGGATGGTGTTATGTAGGATATTTAAGGCACCCATATCTCACTTTCTAGAATTGTATGTAAAGAAGCTCTGTTGTAATATCTTGATTACAAAATTGGTATTTTTTTTGCTGTTATGCTATAACATTCCAGACTCTACATCAGATATTTTAAATAGTTCCTCTTTGCTTTATTGGCAGGTGAGATGTCCCATCATGATGTTTTGGATGCTGCATCTCAAGGAATAAATGTTATCCTTTGTGAACACAGCAACACTGAACGAGGCTTTCTTTCTGATCTTCGAGATATGCTAGGTGCCCACTTGGAGAAGAATAAGATTAATATTGTCCTGTCAGAAAGAGACAGAGACCCTCTTCATGTAATATAACACATACAGGAACAATAGAATGACACAATCTGCAATTTGATTGGCTCTCAACTTCAATGCACGACACAATAGTGCAGTTGCTGTTATGAAAGAATGTCTTAGGTGTACATTGTGATCATAGTGTAGTATAAGTAGATACTCAACTATAAAACTACATCTGCAACTTACAAAGTTTATAAGTTAATGTTTCCTCAAAAAAAATGTACATTTTCATTTTTGTTAATTTTTACTGAGTGTTCTATAGTTCATAAACACTACCATGAAAGAACAAATGTTGATTATGAAACCAAATTAAAGAATATAATAAAAATATTTTTTCTTTATAAAAACTAGTAAAGATTGATTAGAATCTGACATTCTTGGGAAGTAACAACAATCCTCTTTAGACTTCCAGATAGTAGCTTCTAGGTGGTAATAATTTCTTGGGGGGGGGACTGGTGGAGGGGTTGTTCAGATCACATCTCGCGATGCTCAGGGGTTACTGCTGGCTTTGACTCAAGAAGCACGCACTCTTGGAAGTACTCAGGGGACCATATGGGATGCTGGGGATCAAACCCAAGTCCACTGAGTGCAAAGCAAGCACTCTTCCCACTACACTATCTCTAAAGCCCACATAATTCCTTTTAGTATATTTCTGTTCCTGTATCCCTAAAATTCTACCTAAATTTCAGAATCAGGATGAGATTTATCAGAATAAGGTATTGTACTTTTCAGTTTTTTTAAAGCTACATGGCCATCTTTCATAGAACCTGCTTTGATTCTTGGGATAACTAGCCTGTAATGGTCCTACATATTTAACATGCACTGTACAGTGTAATGAATATCATAATACAAATTATGTATTAAATGGTTAGTGCGAAAAATAATACTATTGATGACTCAGCATATACCACTGGAGGGTCATACTTGAATGTGGATTAATTAACCCACAGTGCAGTGCTGGTGTTAAAGTGTGTTAAAAAGAATATTCATTTTCTACCAGACGCTATATTTGGTGCATACAAACATTGTCATACCTTATAAACAAGCAAACAGGTATTCTCTTACAAATGAGGAAGCTAAACAGATACTAAGAAATCTTCCTAAGGGTTTTGTATCTGGCATCATCCCCCAAAAAAGAAAGCTTAAGTCCACATAGATAAGTGATGGGAATTAGGACAGTCAAGCAGTGTGGTTCTGAAGCCTGAGTACTTAAGTCTTCTTAAAAAGATACATAATCCTGAAGAAAAGTCTTTTAAATTGTTTTATTGGGGGTGATAGAGTGACAGTACTGGGGCCATTGTTTGGAACGTGGCTCACCTAGTTTTGATCCCTAGCATCACATATGTTCCCTCTGAGTTCTGCAAGAAGCCCTGAACACTGCTGGGTGTGACCAAACACACAAAAACAACAATAAAAAAGTAAATGATTTTACTGAGTGGCAAAATGCAAAATTTTTAAATGCTTTTTATACTTATTTCTAATTTATCTACTGAGCTTTACTTTGGTAATGACAAAAGCAAATTCTCTAAAATTCTGTCCAAAATAAGAAAGCATAAGAATTATTTACTTCTTTTGTAGGACCTTTCTCTACCAGATGTAGAGATCAATTTGAGAATTTGCGAATCCTAATTTCCAAACTAGCCTTTGTGGTTCGCCTATAATATGGATGCACTAAAGAATTACTAACAATCTTTAAGAAATGCTCATAAATTAATCTACTAACCCCTAGTATTAATCTGTGGTTGCAGTCCAGTATGGGGTTCACTTAACAGTGTGGTGGTCCTGGGAAAAAAAATAGTCAACAGTAAAGATTTCTGAATACACAAAGACCCAAAATTTAAACAGTGAGTCTGAGGTGTTTTTGGCAGTACTTGCTTGGTTGCACTTCCCTGGCAAAATGGGGACCACAGTGGAAAAATTCAAGAAGCCCTGGTTTAATCCAATTAGAGGACCAAAGGATCCAAGAAGGCCCAAGTCAAAAAGGAGAAAACATAAATAAATAAAGGACCTATAAAGGATCAGTGTCTAAATGGAATGAGACCTCAGCTGAGATTTTAAAAGGGTGAGGGTGCAGTGAGCATGCAGTGCTGAGGATCCAACTCAAGGCTGTGCCAGATCTGGCATGTGCTCTACCACTTGAGCCAGCTTCCTCCAGTCCCCTTGAGATTATCAACCTAATTTTTTGTGCAATTTTTGATTTTAGATTAAATAACTAATTTTTACCTTCTCTACTAGATTCTAGTAACATAAATAACTGGAAACACCCTCCTTACAACTCCACTTACTGTATTTTTCACCTTGTTGCAGGGGATTGAACCCAGAGCTTCACATACATTCTTTATAGTTTTTAAAAATAAAGAATCACCAATTTTTTTTTTTTTTTTTTTTTTTTGCTTTTTGGGTCACACCCGGAGGTGCTCAGGGGTTACTCCTGGCTCTACACTCAGGAATTACTCCTGGCGGTGCTCAGGGGACCATATAGAATGCTGGGGATTGCACCCGGGTTAGCCACATACAAGGCTAACGCCCTACCCCCTCTACTATAGCTCCACCCCCCCAAAAATAATTCTTGTCATGTTTTCTGAACTGTTCTAAGGTGTTGACTGTTGTGTTTTTATTGTTGTTGTTGTTTTTTAGTTATTTTTGGGCCACACTAGGCAATGCTCGGGTTATTTTTTGTGTTCAGGAATTACTCCTGGTGTTTAGAGGACCATATGGGATGCCAGGATTGAATCCAGGTTGACTGTGACATAGCAAACACCAAGGCAAACACCCTACCTGCTGTACTACTGCTCCAGCCCTGTTGACTGTTTTATGTATCATTGCTCTACAAATGTGATGGTACACAAGAGAACCTGAAGATTTAGATAAAATGCAGATTGATGCAAGAAACAAGACTTGATTCAGATAATGTAAGGAGCTTTACCAAGCTCCCAAGAGAGACTGATGCCATCTCCAAATGTGTGAGATTCTCCTAAGAAAGAAAACAATTACAAAAAGCACCAGCACAAAGTCACTGACATAACTACTTACCTCAAGGGTATTTAGGAGTACACATTCTTGTTAAACAGATTCTCCTGACTCTCTGATGCTTATTTTGAAAACCACACTTTGCATAGGAAGGCTTGCAGTCGAAGTGCATATGCCAAGATTTTTCTGAATATTTACAGAGTTGTAGGTTTCACTCACACTTCAAGTTTTATTTTCCATAGCAACAATATTTTAAGTTTACTTTATTCAACACATTCAGGATACTATAATGTTAATTAAACCTTTATATTTTATCATCATGTCCTCACAACTATCTAGCACAAAGCCTATGCAGTAAAAGGTCAACAAATATGAATGAAAACAGTATAACAGCAATTCCAAAAATCAAATATGGGAGACTAAGGAAGAAATCAAGTAATTACAAAAAGCCTCAGTACAAAGTCACTGACATTAACTAGTCACTCCAGGGGTATTCAGGAACATACACACTGGTTAGGCAGATTCTCATGATCCTCATCGGTGATGGCTACTCAGGACTAACAAGATAATAAATTCTGAACAATGCCACTGGCTCCACTTTCCAGTTAGCCTAGGGGAGAGGGGGCAGATAGTAATCTTAAAATATAAAGTTTATCAAGACCTATTAGCCCTCCCCAACTCCTGATTTTTGTTATCAATGAAATGTTTATCTACTAAAATGACAAACATAATAAGAACTGTCCAGTATCACAAGAAGTGATGTAGCATTCCCTACACAAGGAATTCGTTATTATACCATTTGTAGAATATAATGAGTTTGTTCTATACCCTGTACTTGTTTTTAGCCTGTTTATTTTGCCATTTTTATTAAGAACAGTCAGAAAATTCTGTCAAGATTTCAGGTCTGTTCAATTTAGCAGAAGTAAATAACACTCAAAATTTGAGCATCAAGGAATACTGATTCTGAAATGTTACTGAAGAGCATATAATTGTGCCAAGATCTTCATTAGAAATGTAAGATGCATTTTATATTTTTATGAAGCACTCCTGAAATAGTTTTAGTATAAAGCCATACTATACATTTTAAAAAGTGATTATATCCAAATTGACTTAATTTATTAGTAGTAAAGACTATTGACACATTCTGCTTGAAAAGAGCAGACACAACAATTATAAAAATAAACCAGTAGGTATTTAAAAGCAAGTCCAAATTTTGCACATTAGACCTTAAAGGATTTGCATGTACACACAAAAACATACACAAACATATATTTACATAGTACATTATTACAGACTAGACTTAGCAAAAAAAAAAAAAAGGTGCAAACCAGCAAGTATATGCTATCATTTGTCTTTTCAAAAGGAGACAGACAACTATTCTTACACGTACATAAGTATCTCTGAAAGGATACTACTGATTGCTAAAGAACTGAATCAAGTAGGGCTGAAGAGATGGTATAGCAGGTAGGTACTTGCCTTCATGCAAGGAATAATCCCTGAGCACAGAGCCAGGAGTAAGCTGGTCTGTACCACCAGGTATAGATCAAAAGCTAAAAACAAAAAACTGCATCGGGTACTGGAAAGAAATTCACTTTTTATTAAATACCCCTTTGATACAAATTTTAAAAAACTTTTTAAAAGGATCATATTCATGAATGATTTGCTTAAATATTTTGATATTTCACTTTAATCCTTAATACATGGACTTTGTGTCACAAAAATATATTTTTTTAGCATTTTGGGAAATATTTCCATAAAAATAATATACAAAGTATGATGAGAAAATGTGATGTACTCCATACTTCACTACAATGATATTTTAACTACTTTGACTTCCAAGTATGACATATTTTAGGGAGCATGAAAGACTATAAGCTGACTGTATTGACCAAGGCTAGCCTTTCCTTCCATAGAAATATTTAGGAGGGTTGAAATCATTCTAAAAAAAAAAAATCATACTGAGTTTTTTAGTCTACTTAATAGAGAAATCAAGATCAACTTAAAGGCAGTCATTAATATAATGCTCATGTGCTTGTTATTTAAGGAAAGTATATCACTATACAAGAATAAATGTTTTTCTTTTTTCATATATGAAACGTAATTCAGAACTGTAATTCTCTAGCCTGGCTTCTCACCTGTATTCTGAAGGTGACGGCACAGACATTAACTGTTCTGAATTTCATGATTTAATGTCCATGCACTAATTCCTAGGATGAGTGGGTATACACCCTACACACTTGTTTTGCTTTCTTAATATCCCAACTGAATACTGTGTCACACTCCCCCACCGCCCCAGAGCAGAATGTAGTCCAAATCCAAAAAAAGAAAAATACTAGATTCTCCTACTCTGCTATAAACTTACATGTGTTTTGTGAAGCAATTTCAGAAAACAGTAAGAGATATCTGCCTTCTCCATTATACTAATCAGTTCTGACACACACAGAACAGCAAATAAAGCAGATTTATGTGATGTCAATCTTTTTTTGAACTTCACACTCTGGAAAAAACACATTTACAAATAACTAGCTCCAAGAGTGCTAAAAAGCCCTCAAAAATTAGGATTATCATCTCATATAAAGTAATTAAAAAACATCTGATTTCAAATAGTCCCTGAGCATACTGTTCACTCTAACAAGAAGTCTCCAGAGAGGTAATGAATGAAAGGCACATTTTCTCTTAACTTGAGGATTGCTGCACAGTCCTAGAGATGGTACACCAGCCAGGCCAATCAAACTTCTAATTCATGACATCCTCACCCATCCAACTTAAATTCTGTATACTGGAGAAGAGAGTCTGATGTTGGCTGTAAACACAACACTTTGGAGCAGTGGCAACCTTTCCATAGACAACCTAACAACAGGATAGCTTCAAGAATCATCCTCTTCCTTTTCCAGGAAATCAGTCAACGTTCCACTATCAACAGGAATTAATAAATATTCCACTCCATCAGTTCCCTGTAAGATGAAATATATCCTCAATGTTAGTCATTTGTAAGATACATCTAAATCCTGTTCAACAAAAAATTTATTTTCTTCATATTTTATGTCAACATAATGCAAAAGGATGTCCTTTTCTTATGCTGGCTTTCTTCGAGTATCTCTTTATATGCAATTCATTCTTGGAATGCTCTTTCCTTCCCTCTCTGATAGTTCTCTCCCATTCTGCCTTTACATCTCAGCTCAATGGTCTTTTCTGATCACAATTTGGTCAAATCCATGAATTTTAATCTTTCATAATCATAAATCTACTAAACACAGTCAAAACTATATATATTTATGATGTCATTCTCCTCCAATGTATATTTATTTTGCTTTTGGGGTCACACCCGGCAATGCACTGAGGTTAATCCTGGCTTTGCACTCAGGAATTACTCCTGGAGGTGCTCAGGGGACCATATGGGATGCTGGGAATTGAACCCGGGTTGGCCGTGTGCAAGGCAAATGCCCTACTCACTGTGCTATCACTCCAGCCCCTCCTCCAATATTTTCAGCTCCGTGAAAAAGGAGTTAGGTTTTACTATATCCCAATATTTAGGGCATTGATATATAGTGCTCATTAGTATATAGCAGATTAATGAAATGGGTAGAAGACAAAAGGGAAAAGGGAACAAAATTACTTGAATTATCTTCCTATAAGTCTGGATAAGAACTCAGTATTATTTTTTGCTCTGTTCAATTTTTACAGAATTCAACTGGCACATTACCTAAACGGAGTCTTGTGACCAATCATAGAATCTGTTTCACAACTAGATTTGAGTCAAAGGCCTACTTTGAACAAGTTAAGACTATTCCTAACATGCAATGCTTTAATTTCAAAGTCGTAATTACCTTCTTTGTTTTTATGAGCTTGTGGTCCCTAAATTCAGTTAACTGGGCTCGAAGTGTAAGATCACTATTCACAAGAAATGCCTCCCGACACTGCTGGTAAAAATCTTGAAAAGAAAGTCCTGGAGATTTCAAACGGAGAGGTAGATTTAGAATTTAAAATATGACCACACACACATAAGATACTCACAGCAAAGAACACAGAAAAATTGTTACTGTCATAGTATGTCAAAGAAATTATAAAGTACTCAAAAAGTACTGCCAGAAGAAACAAAACTAGAAAATACTTACATATTAAATGCTGTTGAGTGCATTTTTAAATTATATAAAAAAAAAAATTGGGGGGATGGAGTTGGTACACTGGGCTGTGCTCAGGGCTTACTCCAGGCTCTGCTCTGGGATCGCTCTTGGTGATGCTCAGGGATCTATACAGGGTGCTGGGAAATTGAATCCAGGTCTGCCACATGCAAAGAGGCCTAGCCACTGTACTACCACTCTAACCCCGAAAGTGTTTGTGTGGGTGCACATTTTTTTGCTTTTTTGGGTCACATCTGGCAATTCTAAGGGGTTTTTACTCCTAGCGATGCTTGGGGGACCATATGTGATACTAGGAGATTGAACCTGTGATGGCCACCTGCAAGGCAAATGCCCTACCCGCTGTCTTATTGCTCTGGCCCCAAGAGTACACTTTTTTAAAAGAGAATTCATTAGTTGAACTAGTCAGCGTGAGACTACTTAATGTCAGCAATTTTTTTTATATAAGTATTTTATTTAAGCACCTTATTTAGAATACTGTTAATGGTAGGTTTCATGCACGAAACATCCCATGTATTAGACTGTCTACTTCACTCCATCTATTAGAGTATCTATTTTACTCCATCAACATACGCAGTTTGTTGTTTGGGGGGAAGGGCACAGCTGGTGGTGCTCAGGAATTATTCCTGGCTCTTTGTTCAGGGATCACGCCAGGAGGACCTGGGGACAATATAGGGTGCTAGGGATCAAATCTAGGTTGGTCACATGTAAGGCAACCACCCAACCTATTGGACTTTAGCTCTGGCCCCAATATAAGCAGATCAATACAGTGTGAACAATGCCAAATTCTTTATGAACTGCATCTGGCAGTGCTCAGGGTTTATTCCTGGCTCTGTTCTTAGGGATTTTCCTGGTGGTACTCAGGGGATGAAATGGGGTGTTGGGGTTGACCACAAGCAAGACAAGAGCCTTACCTGCAGTACTATCTCTCAGTACTATGCTGACTTTTAAAGAGTATGAATAAGAATGGTATCTGAATAGTTATTAGAATGGTTATTAGGGCCACCAGAAAGCATATTTTGCAGTTAAGAGTCCCAGGTTTGATCCCTGGCACTGCATGGTGTCTCAAGCATTGCCAGGAGTAACCCCTGAGCACTGAACTAGAATTAGCCCCTGGGCTCTACCAAATGTGGCACTAAAATGAAAAAAAAAGTGTTTGTTTAAATTAATACTATTTTTTGTAAGGAAAAGAAAGAAAATCTAAGGTGCACATTATATGAAATATACGTAATTAGTAGATAGACCTCTATGGTTAGAGTTCAGATTTTAAAAGTAAGCTTCTCTTTTCAATGCACATTACCAAACAGCCTGTTCAAGAATGTATCTTTAGGATCACTTAAAATTTTGCTGTGTGATAGACACACTAGTCAGAGAGCAAACCATTTACTCAATGCAGTCACTTCTGTGACAAACTATAATGCTATAATAAAGATTTCACAAAATAAAATTCAGAGGTCGAAACAAAAGTCAATTTAATAACATAAATATTGTATACCATTGTAAGCAGAGTTATCCTGGTTTTCCAGCTGATACTTTATTAGCAGCCTGAAAATCCCCCTAGACAAAAACAAACAGGAATTTTAATTCAGAATGCCAATGTCAAAAGATTAACAGCAAGAGGTAAAATACACAAAGAGAAGTTAAAATACATTTCCTGGCTGTACTATCTTCTATTCTTTTCTTCAAGACACAGCATAACATATCACTGGAGTACTTGAAAAAGAAAAGTTCTTAATATCCTTTTATGGTAGATACAGAAATATTTTCCCCTCTCCTCATACTACAGATTAACTCATTACCAAAAACTTGAAAATAAATAATAAAATTTGAAGAAAATGAAGAGGAAATATTAACCCCAAAACTGTAAACTAAGTCACTAACATCTGCTATGGAGATATCTGTGAATGTTTTCTTATTTATGAAAAGGATGCAATGAAGAAAAACAAATCCACGTATTTATATCTTTTAGACATGGTATTATATCATTTATAGTCTCTTCCAGCTCCCGGAAGAGAACAGTGCAGAGTCTCCTGCCCCCGCGCCTGGTTGTCCTCGGCGGGGCCCCTTGGAGGGGAGCGGGTTGAGTTTTCCTCCCCGCCCCGACCAGGGCTCCGGCAGCCGAAGACCTCCAGAACCAGACACCATCATGCTGAGACCACTCTCCACACACATGAAGGTACCGGCAGAGGAACAAAGGCACACGGGTCCCGGGGCTGAGTTCTCCAAGCCTACTTGGATCGGGGCTGAGCATCCTCCACCCAGATCCTCCAAATTCCAGTAGGTGGGGGTCACAACCACCAACTGGCCCCCTGGCACCGAGTAATCCCATCAGCGGCCAAGACCCAGAGACTATAAAACCCAGCTCCTGGAAGTGACATCTTATTATCTCATTCTTACTTTGGACAACCTGGCAGGCTACCAAATGTAACCTTGCCTTGCATATGTGAGGCCCTGGGTTTGGATCCTCAGCTCAGTCAAGAGCAAAAAAATAAAGAAAATAAAAGAAGTTTCCTGGAGACATTACAAAGATTTTAAATGCATATGCTTTGAAGCGCAGCAGATTTGGACATACTCTCTGTGCCATTAACTATAGACCTTAATACTGATAGCAAGGAGCTTGACGATAGTACACTAAATAGGGTATTTGCCTTGCATGTGGCCAACCTGGGTTTAACCCCTGATCCCTGACCGGTGTGATTCCTGAGTGCAGGGGCAGAAATAAGCCCTGAACATCCCTGGAGGTGAGCCAAAAACCAATCCCCCCACCAAAAAAAGTGTCTGTGAAGATCATGAAATGTGCTTCTTCAATAAAGGACCCCATGTTTAAATCAGAATGTTCAAAAAAAAACTTTTAAAAAAATGGGGGGGCTGAAAAGATAGTACAGAGAGCATTTACCATGCACACAGCAAACCCTGGTTCGATCTAGGTGTCACAGGTATTTCTGTGAGTACTACCAAGAATGACCCCTGAGCACAGAGCCAGGAGTAAGCCCTGAATATAATTGATTGCAAACCAAAATCAAAGAGAAAAAATAATTAGGAAGGACATAAAACAAAAATCTAAGCAAAAATTAAAATCATTTTTAAATAAAAATGTGCCCCCTGCACCTACTTGTCCTCACCGGGGCCCATTGGAGCAGGGTGGGTTGAGTTTCCCTCCCCGCCCCAAGCAGAGCCCCAGCAGCTGAAGACCTCCGGAACCAGCCACAGACATACTTAAGACCACTCTCAACACACTTGGACGAGCTTCACGTATGAAGAAACCGACAAAGGAACCCAGGTGTGCGGGACCCGGGACCCGGGGCTGAGATCTCCAAGGCTGCTTGGATCAGGACTGGGCCTCTTCCACCCAGATCCCCCATCTTCCAGTGCCTAGGCGTTACACCCACCCACCCCCAGCACCATGTAATCCCATCAACGGCCAAGACCCAGAGACTATAAAATCAAGCTCCCAGAAGCACGCAGCCTGTATTTGTGGCCACATGAACTCTTATTATCTAGTTCTTGCTCTCAAAGAACCTAGCCGGCCACCAGAGAGTATCCTGCCTGCATGGCAGAGTCTGGCAAGCTTCCCGTGGCATATTCGATATGCCAAAACCCAGTAACAATGATGAATCTCATTCCCCTGACCCTGAAAGAGCCTCCAATGTGGGACTTGCTAAAATCTCAGGGCTAGGATGAATGGAGACATTACTGGTGCCTGCTTGAGGAAACTGATGAACAACGAGATGACAGTGATACAATGATACAGTGAAATAAAAAGAACTTAAGATAAATAATCAATGAATCATAATATCCAATACACAACTTAAAATGTCTAGGACTAGAGAGACAGTACATCAGATAGAAAACCTGCCTTACACTCAGGTTCAATTCCTTGCACCCCATATGGCCCTCTGAGCCCTGCCAGGAGTGATCCCTGAGTGCAGAGTCAGGAGTAAGAGTTACACACTGTCAAGTGTGGGCCCCTGCCTACCCCTCCCCCCCAAATAAATAAAATATGCATCAGATTTTAAGTAAAATCTTCCAAAATTCTTATACCACCATGAGGCTGGAGATAAAGTTATAGGAGTGGGGTAAGGTACCTGACTTGCATGAAGCCAACCCAGTTTTGATCCCTAGCACTGGATATTGTTCCCCAGGCACCACCAGGGACAACTCCTGAAAACCAATGGGTACGGCATCCCAAATTCTTTTATGTCTGTATTTGACACTCAAGTGCTTTTATTCATCTCATGTGTGATATAATCACTGTATCACTGTCATCCTGTTGTTCATCGATTTGCCAGAGCAGGCACCAGTAACATCTCCATTTGGTCCTGTCATGTGCTGGTGTAGCCCGATGGCATATCGAGGGCTCTTTCAGGATCAGGGGAATGAGGACCATCATTGTTACTGTTTTTGGCATATCGAGTACCATTCTAAGACCATTCTCCACACGCTCAGATGAGCCTCACTCATGAAGGAACCAGCAGAGGAACCCAGGTGTGCAAGACCTGGGGCCGAGATCTCCAAGGCTGCTCGGATTGGGACTGGGCCTCCCCCACCCACATCCCCCACCTTCCAGCAGCTAGACAATTACACCCACCAACTGCTGTGTAATCCCACCAATGGCCAAGATCCAGAGACTGTAACACCAACCTCCTGGAAGCATTTGCGGCTGAGCGACCTCTTATTGTCTAGTTTTGTCTCTCAGAGAACTCAGCAGGCTACCGAAAGTATCCTGCCTGCATATATGCCTGACTGGGAACACCTGTAAAGGCAATTAGAGGCTGCCCCAAAAGCCTCCATCCCTCTTGGAGAGCCCAGCAAGCTACTTAGAGTATCCCGCCTGCACGGCAGAGCCTGGAAAGCTACCTGTGATATAATAAATTATATAAAAATCTATAAAGACAAATGTTATATTCTTCTTGTTCACTATTAGGCAATCTAGTATTAAGCAGTTTATATTATACAATATTGGAAACTTGTTGTTACTGCTATTTCTCATAGATCTTCAAACTAAGGACTTAGTAATACTTCAGCATCAGTATTAAACCCTAGCTGTGCACATTACAAAATGCATTGAGTTTCTTTAAAAAGAAATGAATTCATTCTTACCTTGCATTAGGGGTAAGACTTCTTAAGACATGAACTAAGGAACTGAGGGGTAGTGATCCAGACTGTTTAACCAGGAGAGAATTCTCATAGGAAGTTTCTTCAGTGTAAGGACTATATGTAGTAGTTTCATACCAGAGCCAGTTATAAAGACTCTGCTTTGCATGATCCCACACTAGAGGACAGGATCGAAGAAAATAAGAATTACACACTATTTTTATATAGTTGGGCTGGAGCGATAGCACAGCAGGTAGGGCATTTGCCTTGGACACGGCCAACACAGGCTCGATTCCTTCATCACTCTCAGAGAGTCCGGCAAGCTACTGAGGGTATCCCACCCGCATGGCAGAGCCTGGCACGCTCCCCATGGCGTATTCGATATGCCAAAAACAGTAACACAGGTCTCACAATGGAGATGTTACTGGTGCCCGCTCAAGCAAATTGATGAACAAAGGGAGGACAGTGCTTTATATAGTTATGCTACTATATTCTACTCCAAGAATGAAAACACATTAAAAATAAATTCTGGAATCAGAAAGACATCTCATTAGGCTTTGCATGTGAGAGGCTTAGGTTCAATCCCCAGCACCACATGGGCACCAAGCACTGCTAAAAGTAGCCCCTGAACAAAGAGCCAGGAGTACCCCTAGAACCACTGGATGGAACAAAACAATACAAAAAAACTTGTGGTTGCTCAATGAGCTGAATGCAGGCTTTGCATATAGGAGGTTAAGGAATCAATCCACTTGAACTGCCAATCACAATCTGATTTCATTGATAATCAACATCCGCTTAGATGTTAAATCTAAATTTAACTTTTTGATTTTGGGTCATATCCATTGATTCTCAGGGCTTACTCCTGGCTCTGCACTCAGGACATCACCTGAGATGCCAGGGATGAAACCTGGGTTGGCCACATGCAAGCCAAGTGCTTTACCTACTGTACTATGACTCTGGTCCCCTTAAATACAAATTTAAAATTCATTAGTACAGGGCCAGAAATCAACAGGCTGAGCACATTCTCCACATGCAGGAGGCCAGGTTTTGATTCCTGGTATTGCATAACCCCCTGACCAAAATCAGCAGAGACTCCGAAGCACAGAGCTGTAGTAGTCCTGAGCATCACCAGATGTGACACAAAAATCAAATAATAAAAACGAAATAAAACAAAACAAATGACTATTCAGGCATTCTTTTAAAAAGTTTTTTAGTAATTTAGCATTTTGCACCAAAGAAAAAGTGCAGCAGGTAGGGTCCTTGCTCTGTTCCTAATATCAAATCCTTAAAAAATTAAGTTCTGAGCAGGGAAGAAAGCTCAAAGCCATGCTTTATGGAGGAACAGATGGGCGTGGAGTGGGTGGGGAACTGGGCATGGATTAAATCCCTGGCACTGCATGGTTCAAAGCAGTGCCAGAAGCAACCCTTGAGAATCAAGCTGGAAGTAGGCCTGGAGTACCAGGTGTGGCCCCCAAACAAACAATTTTAACAGACCAATGAGTGAATAAAGTCCTGAATCAGTTTGAGAACACCTACTTTTTGGCAAAAAAGTCATTTAACATAAAACAGGAGATATACTGAAAAAACAACAACAAAAAAATTTGTGGATTACAACATAAGAAAATTCATTTTCTGGGGCTTGCGTGCTAGTACAGTAGGTACTAGCTTTACATGCATACTACCCGTGCTTGATCCCCAGCACTCCATATGGTCCCCCAAGTCTGCCAAGAGTGACCTCTGAGCACAGAGCCAGGAGTAAGCCCTAGCACTGCAAGGTTTGGCCCAAAGAACCAAAACAAATAAAACTTAAAAAAAATTTTTTAAAAAGGAAAAACAGTGATATTAGGGGTTCAGAGTGATAGTCCAAGAAATAAAGCATCCGTCTTGCAAGTGAGAATACTGGCTGCGACCCTTTTGAACCCCAGTACCACAAATGGTACCCTGAGAACTGCAGGGGTCACTCCTAAGCACAGAGCCAGGAATAGCCCCCAAAAACTGCTGGGTGTGGCTCAAACACAACTACCACACCCCCCTCAAGTTTAACTTACTGAGAGGAGCATTGAGGTGATCAATAGATGCTATAAGGTATATGTTATTTAAAGATGACAACTGTCCAATAATTTGCTGGCTTTTGTCTCCTCTCAATGTTTGACTATCCAAATTGTGGATGAGAAGAAAGAGTTCTAAAGAAGAATCTAAAAGAAAAGACAATTATTATTTGTAATGATTATTTGAAAAGTCTACTGCAAAGACTATGCATTAAAGAGTGTATCCGGGCTAGGATGAGGGTCTAAGGGGCTAGGGCACATGCTTTGCACGCAGGAGCCCCACTTTTAACCCCGAGCATTATCACTGGGAATGGACCAATAATATATCAAAGTAGTATAGGACAAAATAACTATTACATAGAAACAAGCAACCTATTTGACAGGATATGTCAGTCACTCAAAATAAGCAAGACATTATTCAAATCTTAGGAAAGTTTTATTTTTTGTTTTGTTTTGTTTTTTGCTTTTTGGGTCACACGGCATCCCAAATTCTATTATGTCTGTATTTGACAGTCAAGTGCTTTTATTCATCTCATGTGTGATATAATCACTGTATCACTGTCATCCCGTTGTTCATCGATTTGCTAGAGCAGGCACCAGTAACATCTCCATTCGGTCCTGTCATGTGCTGGTGTAGCCCGATGGCATATGGAGATGCACAGGGGTTACTCCTGACTCTGCACTCAGGAGTTACTCCTGGCGGTGCTCAGGGGACCATATGGGAGGCTGGGAATCAAACTCAGGTCGGCCACGTGCAAGGCAAACGCCCTACCCGCTGTGCTATCTCTCCAGCCCCAGGAAAGAATTATTTTTTTAAAAAAAAGGTTTTTTTTTGGTTTTGTGGCCACACCTGGCAATGCTCAGGGGTTACTCTTGATTCTGCAGTCAGGAATTACTCCCAGCAGTGCTCAGGGGACCATGGAGACTTAATCCAGGTTGGCCACATGCTAGACAAGCATCCAACCTACTGTACTATAATTCTGGCCCATCAACTCCTAAGACAATTTTAATAGAAAGAGAGAGAGAGTTGGGGTTATAGTCCAAAGGGTATACAGGCGTTCCATTTTCAAGGCCAGGGTTCAATCTTCACCAGGGGCAACCCTGAGCAGTGTACTAGAAGAAGCTCTTGAACTTTATCAGGTGTGTCCTCAAAACAAAAACAAAAAAAAAAAAAAGAAGAAATACAAATTGTTGAAAAAAATAAAAGAAATAAAAGAGAGAACCAGAATGTTTAGACAAAACGGGGCTATTAAGTATTTTAATCAAATCACAAATAAAGCAGTTTTAATAAAGCACAGGAAATAGAGCAAGCAAGATATATGTTAGGCTGGAGGTGAATCTGTGCATGCAGAATTGCAAGGTGAGAACAATAAAAAAATTTTAATTATCATTATGAAAGAATATAAAGGAATTTAATTATCATGAAATCCAAAAGAAACAAGAGGAAATGGAAAAGTACTAGAATGATGCTCAAAACTGAGGTCAGAGAAGTAAAGTATGATAAAAGTCAACAAAGAGAGACAGAGATGTAGCTCAATGGTAGAGGAAGTGCTTTTCATGTCTTAGACCCTGTGTTAGATCTCAGGTACCATTGAAAAAAGTCAGTGAGGGTGGGGAAATAGCTTAGTGGGCTGGAGCGCGCACACATAGGCGGCCTGGGTTCCATCCCTGGCATCACAAAGTCCCCTGAGCACCAAGTTGGATGCAGCCCCTAAGTACCACTGGTATGGTCTAAAAAACAAAACCCAAACAAATACAAAACATCAATGAAAAAAATTAGGAAGAAAAATGCAAATAGCAATACCATTTAAATATTAAGAATAAATCACGTAAAATGCAGAATGCAGGATATGTTTGCAAAAACTCTGACCTCCTATTAAACAGAGAAATACAAATACTGTGCAGGGGGGCTGGGTAGGTTTTTCTCTTAAGATGGAAGAGGTCTTACATGTTTAAAAAGCCTTTGGTAAGTCTTTCAGGGGATTAAGAAATGGGGCACTTGGCATTTATGACAAAGGATAAGCCTTTTAAAGAAAATAGGCAAATTTCTCTTCTATTGTAGGTAGAAGAACATGAGAGACAAATAATGACAAAGATTCTGAAATAACACATTTTGAACATGAATATATAATTATTCATTATGTAATTTAAAGCAATTTAAATATATAATTATACTGTAATGACAATCATAGATTATATTTATATTAACTAAATTTAGTTATGTTTTAGCAAACATATCTACTCAACATTATATTATGAACTGTATATGATTTATATAAACATATGCATGAATACATCATAGTAAACTTATGTATACTCACACAATGATTTAAGCGCCTACTTTATTTAAATTTTCTTTTGGCTTTGGGGCCATATCTTGCAGTGCTCAGGGGTTACTCCTGGCTCTGTGCTCAAGAGTACTGCTCCATATGTGATACCAGGGATTTGAAACAGGACTGGCAGGATGCAAAGGCAAGTACCTTATCTATACTCTCTGGCGCAAGGCACCTATTTTAATGAGCCCTTATTTTAACAGGCACCTTTTTTTTTTTTTTAGTATTTTTTTTTCCCTTTATTTTATTTTATTTATTTTTTTTTTACAGTTGTAGATTTACAATTTTTTGTGCTTTGGTTTCAATTATACAATGATCAGATACCCATCCCTCCACCAGTGCCCATTTTCCACCACCATGGATAATATCCCTCCCACCCCCATCCCCCCATCCCCCCGTCTCTGTGGCAGGGCAATCCCAACAGGCACCTTTTTAATCAGTTAATCATTACAGTGTTAAAACTACTTTTAAATTTGGTGCATGGGATCAATGCTTAGGGAACCTGGGGTCTACTCCTATCAGTGCTGGGGCCCTCAGGGATAAAGTCAGAGGTATTCAGGGCACATGGGGTACTGGGGATTAAAGGAGAGTTTCTGTATACAAGACTTGCACTCTAGCCCTTTGAGCTATCTCACTGATTCTTTTTTTAATTTTAATCAATGACTAAATTACAATTGTTAAGCTGTAAATAATTTTATGTCTGTTTGCATGCTGGCACCCATCACTGTTCAGCATTTACTCCCAGCTCTTTGCACTGACATCACTCCTGGTGGTGTTTAGGGAATAATTAGAGGCCAGGGATCAAACTCTGGCTTCTATAATGCAAAGCATGCACTCTAGCCCACTGAACTATCACTCCAGCTTCTAAATAATTTCATAGCTAGCTTTCTGAAATGTTCATGTATGTATCCAAAATACTCACACCAAAAATTTTTTCCCATATCAGATTTTAGCATATAAAATTATTCAAATGCAGTGATATTTACTCAGAATAAACAAGAATGTTTTAAAAGGTATAGAACAATATAAAAGTACCATAGATATACTGCTAATTACCTTGATTACTGCACATTAGCCAAACAAAATCTGAAAGTTATTCTGAAATAAAAGACTTTGAATATAGAAATTCAAGGTAGTAAGTAACTCTTGTCAGATTAGTGAAGTTTACACACAAAAAGTTCATACTAACATAAGAATAAATAGAAACAGGTGTTTTGCTTCATTGTAAAGCTAGAGACTCAAATTCATGTTACCTTCTTTAAATTTGTTTATTATCCAGTCTAGCTGATCCAGTACACTGCGGAAAGTACCTATATGATCAAGGACTTCTTCTGTTATAGAATTCAAGATCTATATCATAAAAGCAGAAAAGGTATATTGATTATAACTTATTTTATCATACAAGATAGATGTAACTAGCAAATGAATCCCTTGTAATTACTTACAAATGAGTTTGTATTTTTTTCATTAATTCTGGTAACTCCCTTTAGAAATTCTACTGGCACTTAAGTATATATTTAATTCATTTTTTTGTATACCTTATTATTAAAAGGACATAGGAAAGAATATCAAAGGAATAAAGATAGTATAAACAGCCCTCCTGCTTTCAGCAACATGAAAAACATTAGAAAACTATAGATTTACCCAAGGAACCAGAACATAAATGTTAAGGACACTATAAAAGACTGGTTAATAGCCAGCACCTAAAATATTTTAGTTAATTTTCAAATAAAAAGATAAGAACACCTGGGTAAAAAAGAATATATAGTATGTGTTGGGCTGGAGCGATAGCACAGCGGGTAGGGCGTTTGCCTTGCATGCAGCCAGCATGGCCGACCAGAGTTCGTTTCCTCCGCCCCTCCCCAGCAAGCTACCGAGAGTATTTGATATGCCAGACACAGTAACAACAAAGTCTCCAATGGAGACGTTACTGGGCCCGCTCGAGCAAATCGATGATCAATGGGAGGGCCTTTATTTTATTTTTTATTTATTATAGTGTTATAAATTATTTTATATATTTTTATTATTTTTAGAATATTAAAATGATACTAGGGGCTGGAGTGATAGCACAGCAGGTAGGGCGTTTGCCTTGCACATGGCCGACCCGGGTTCGATTCCCAGCATCCCATATGGTCCCCCGAGCACTGCCAGGAGTAATTCCTGAGAGCACGAGCCAGGAGTAACCGCTGTGCATCGTGGGGTGTGACGACCTCCCCCAAAAAGAAAAAAAAATGATACTAAAGCAAAACAAAATTGAAGTTTCCCATTGTCCTATTCTTCAGAAAGGTACTGTTGGCATCTGGTGTAGTAAAGAAAGCTAAAATTCCCCTAAGATTTAATATATTATAAGTTACAAGGCAGAAAATTCAAAGATGAGGTTTCAAAGCTAGAAGAGCTGTCTATGTTCACACATGGTCTTAAGAACTGTGCAATCCTACTAGTATTAAGGTTTAAACCAAAAATCTTTCAATCGAATGCTCCAGAACTGGAAACAGCATTCTCATTAATGTGAGTATATGTACTGACAAGGATATACTATACCTTTTAACATTTTTGAAACTTACTGATTTCACACTGATTCCAGGAAAGAAGCCATTGATGACAATATGAATGGAATCCTGCAGCATAGTGGTCCGAAACCTTTCTAGTAAATCTCTCTTAGAACCCAAACCATAAAGCACAATATTGAAGCCCAGGCTGTTAGGAAAGATGGCATTCATTCATCATTAAACAGTTCATAATGATTTCTAACTTACACAAGATGAAAGCACAACTTTGTTTTGTCGCCACATAGGGAGTCCTCAGGGCTTATTCCTGACTCTGTGCTGAGATCATTCCTAGTGGGGGTTCTGTGGACCATTTATGGTACCAGGGATAGAACCCAAGACAGCTGCATGCAAGACAAGTACTTTACCCACTGCACTATTTCTCTAGTCATAGTGAAAGGTTATGGGTATAAAGTGCCATGATCTTTTTAGAAATATGCTAAGGTAGGGAATGCATAGGAAGGAAGAACAAAACTGTTGAAGACAATGGACTTCAATGAAGTTTTATGGAGAAAAACATAAGGTGTTAAGTGATTGATAGGTCACATTATATAGAATTTAAAGTGGCTAGATATAGAATGTGAGGGAAAGAGAATATTTTCAAATATATTTTTTGGCACTGGCAAATGCATGAATGAAATGATAATTCACTCTGCTGAGCACTGCAGCAGAAGGGAATGACAGATGAAGCTAAGCTGTAGATGGCATGTTTCACATGTTTGAGGCCCTGTGTTTGATTCCTAGTACCAAAATATCATGTACAGTATTTACGGGTCATAGTCATATGGAAATCTCTGATAAACATTCAGATATCCATGCCTGTTTAAGAGTGAGGTGAAAGATAGATTGGACAACAGTTATGGAAGTTACACACCTACACAAGCAATCAAAACCAAGATATATAATGAGATAATTCAGAATATCACGCTCTAGGGAACAAACAAGTTCAACTCTAGGACTACTTTACTAAGGTTAGTAAGAAACAGTATTTACCTGATGTTCTCTATTAATGTAGGATAGCTTAAAATTGAAAATGAAAAAGAAACAAAGCCCCAAAAAGAGACCAAGGTAGAAACACCAATTTGGGGATGCTAAGGAAAGGGAATCCAGAGAACTAGCAATTCTATAGAAGTAGTTGACTGTGGTTGAGTTTCGGAAGCAAAACAAATCAAGTTATCAGAGTTGATAAATAGAAATAAGAATTGGTGGACAAAGGGATAACACTAGAATGAGACATTAGAAAAGTTGCTTTACAAATTTATAAATGTACAATATTTACAGGACATAGTCACATGGAAATCTCTGATAAACATTCAGATATCCATGTCTGTTTAAGAGTGAGGTGTGAGCTAGATAGAATAGCTATGGGAGTTTAATTTATCAAAAGTGTTCCATATAGTTTTTGAGAGAATTGAGGTGCTTGAAATTAATCATTCTCTAACTAGCATTACCTCGGACAGAGAACTGGCAAAAGAAAACAGCTAAGGAAACTGATTTCAATGTTCTTACTGTCTGTGCAGTTGTTACTTTATTTATTCAAGTGACTATGGAACTCTCAGTGCTCATATTTACTTTAGCATACACTTTTTGTTTTCTTTTGGTAATCATACGTGGTGGAGCTTAGGGAATTACTCCTGGTGGGGTTCAGGGGACCATATGTAGTGTCAGGGATTGAACCGGCATCAGCCACATGCAAGACTTTACTACTATACTTATCATGCTAGTCCCTTAATATACATTCAAAAAACTTTCTTGTATTAAGATCATTTTTTTTAAAAGTTTTTAGTTTCATTAATTTTTGTGTCACACCCGGCAATACTCAAGGATGTTACTCCTGGCTCTGCACTCTAGCAGTGCTCAGGGAACCATATGGGAAGGCAAGGATTAAACCCAGGTCAGCAGTATGCAAGGAAAATGCCCTACCTACTGTACTATTGCTCTGTGCCCGTATTAAGATCCTTTTAAAATCTCTAGTATCCCATAAGGTACCCTGAGTCCTGCCAGAAGTGATCCCTGAACTGCATGCAAGGCAAGCATCCTACCCACTGTACTACCTCTCTGGCCCCCTCAACTTTTTAATATAAATAAGAATTACTTATCAGGCTTACCACAAAAAAGTAAATTATGGTAAGTTGCTTTGATTTTACCACACTTAACATAAATATATACCACTAATTTTATGAATTTACAATAATAGTACTTACTGTAATTGCAACATCCATTTATGAAATAATTGTTCATATCGTTGATTTAGTTGTTTAAGTTCAGCAGAAAAGGAAGGAGGAACCTTGCTCAATAAGGTATGTAAAGTTTGCTTTAAAAAAAGTGAGGAAAGAAAAATCACTCTCAAACCAATACATCAAATCAATTCAGATATTTTCTTGGAGACAGAGATTAAAAGAGGTGTCATAAATTAAAGTAGTAGAGTATTTTTTAATCTTGTTTGGTAATGTGTGCAACAAACAAATATACATATACTTAAAATATGACTTAATCTGTGTGTGTGTGTGTGTCTGTGTGTGTATGGCTGGAAATTAAACCCTAAATCTCATGCATTCAAGGTATGTACTTTTCTACATCCCTGGCCTAATTATCTGCTAACTTGAGATTTTATTTGAAGCAATCTACCAACAACAGCCATTATGATAGATGATATCAATATGTCATAAGTATATACTCGTTGCAGCTATCTGGCTGCTGCACTGCACGGCAGCACTGTGCCCCCATTGTTCATTGATTTGCTTGAGCGGGCACCAGTAACGTCTCCATTGTGACATTTGTTGTTACTGTTTTTGGCATATCAAATACATCAGAGGTAGCCTGCCAGGCTTTGCCGTGCAGGCGGGATGCTCTCGGTAGTTTGCCAGGCTCTCTGAGGAATCAAACCCGGGTGGGCTGCGTGCAAGGCAAACACCCTACCCACTGTACTCTCACTCCCGCCTATCTGGCTACAGCTTTTTTTAAAAAAAAAAAAAGGTTGTAAAGGTAAGGTAAAAGGCCCTCCTGTTGATCGTCGATTTGCTCGAGCGGGCCCAGTAACGTCTCCATTGGAGACTTTGTTGTTACTGTGTCTGGGATAAAATCCTATCATCCTACCAAAGCTATATTTACCAAAAAAACAAAGCTATATTGCACGTACATAAGTTAAAGAAAAGGAACATAGGGACCGGAGCGATAGCACAGAGGGTAGGATGTTTGCCTTGCACGTGGCCGACCTGGGTTCGATTCCCAGCAACCCATATGGTCCTCCAAGCACCGCCAGAAGTAATTCCTGAGTGCATGAGCCAGGAGTAAACCCTGTGTATCACCAGGTGTGACCCAAAAAGGGGAAAAAAAAAGAAACAAACTCAAGAAACAAAAATAAACCAAACTGTTTTCCTTGAAACAAATTAGTTTCTTTGGTGGAGGGAGGACGGGTAGGTAGGGGTTGATCTGGAGCCATACCCAGTGGCACTCAGGGGACCATGTGATGCCAAATACACAGAAAGTTAAAACCCTTAAATTATCTCTCCAGCCCTCAACTGGCTTTTTGACTCAATTTTTTACCTAACCTCTCACCTGAGACTCAATATTAATGAATGAGTCTTAATAAAAACACAAAATATATTACTACATAGTACCATATTACCTTGTTCATAAAGGCTCACTACCTATTCTCTCTTTTGTATAGCTTGAGAACTGTCAAAAGCTGGTATACTTTAGAAAACTGCTCTAAACTCTATTTTTAGATAACAATAAAATCTTGGTACTCTGAGTCAATAGCAATGTCTCTTCTTCCCCTTTTTTCTGGAGCTATGGTGAATCCAGGGCCTCATATGTGCAAGCAATGCACTACATCACTGGGCTATATCCCAGGCCCTAACAATCTCTTTTCAACTTAGATTATCAACCCCACTTTAAATTGTACTCTTATCTCATTTCAAAGGTTCCCTCTGTACTCTAAGGAAGGTTAAAGTCAAAACTCAACAAGTAAAACTGCATGCTATTTTTATAAAATGTGATACTGAAATCAAATAGTAGGGCTAACTAACAGTACTAGGTAGTTTTCTGTAATATCAATATGCACAATATTCTCCACTTTTGGGCAAGATTTGTAATTGTAATTTGTAACCGTAATTTTTAATTGAAATAAATGACTATAATCTGAGCATTAATTCTGTTTTTGGTTTATGAGCAGTATGAGATTCAGTGAAGATGTGGGTTAAATGAATAAAACAGAGATATCACTGTTACCAAAAAAGAAATCTCTGACATTTGTGATTAATTGAAAAACTGAGAAAATGATGAAGAAAAAATATAATACCTAAAAATCTAACAGAATTGAACCATTTACTGTTTATATAAGGAAATTTAAAATCCATTAGTTATGCCACAGCATTTGTGTTTTGTCTGATCAATACTTGAGAATATTTATAACTCTGCTTGTGAAAACTCCTCAAATTTGCTGGTAATGTGAAACTTTTTCAGCTCACAAGAAAAGTTTAGAAAATAATATCTTTGCAACATACCTGATCCAGTTTAGCCCTCTTTAGTTTCTGTAGTGTTCTATCAGAGGTTAAAACTTTTGAACTGCTATGAGCTTCAAAATATTCTTCGACCAAGTCGTCCTGAAAGTAAAGACACAGCAAAGTCAGTCTTCGGAAACAAATATTTGTTTCATATCAAAAGTAGAGGGCCAAAGGAAAAGTATAGTAAGCTGAGTGCTTGCTGTGCTCACAGCAGACCTGGGATCGATCCCTGGCATCCCATATGATAACCCAAGCCCACCAGGTGGTCCTGAACACAGAGCCAGGAGTAACCCTTGAGCATCGCTTGGAGTGGACCCACAACAAAAAACAAACAAAAAGTAGATAGTAATATTAGCATATAGTAGGACATAAAATTATGTGGTAATTAGTATTGCCTTTGTGAAGTGATGATACAGTTTAAAGAACAAGAGAATTTACGTTCATTAAAGAATGTAACTCTTAGGATCACTAATGTTAAAGAAATAGGAACCGAAAGAATGATGGTTCAATGGCAAAAGTATGAGCATGGCAATGGGCAAAACTTGTAAGTAGGAGGATGCAAGTTTGATCCCAGAATGCTGCACATATGCAGCAAAAGAGATCTTAAGCCCACTGAAACAATGAGTGTATAAGAAACACTACTGAAAGTGGAGGACCCACTAGCACACTGCAACTAAATGATGAGTGAGCACTTGTGTATCTCTCTGGCCATGGCAATAACAGGAAAGGGGAGAGAAGTGAGAAGAAAGAAGGGAAGGAAAGGAAAATTAGAGATGATTATCATAATCTGGGGTTGTACAGAGTAGGGTGCTTGCTTTGTACCCCAAATGGTCCCTGAGTCCTGAAGTAGTGATTCCTGGGTGCAGAGCCAGGATAAACCCTGAGCACCACTGATGCAACCAACAAAAACCCAAACAAAATTAGAGTGAAGCAGTCTGTTCCCAAAATCAGTTCCTAAGTTCCAACATAAAATCTTCACCTAGACTTATAGTTTTATATAGAAAGACCTCACCTCACATAGTCCTAACAAAATCCTTTAATATTAGTATAACAAGTGAAAGTGAGAAAGAAATCAATAGCAAGGTAAAAGATTTTTCCAGTATGTCAGTAAAAAGGATTCCAGGGCAGGATTTCCACAGTGAAGTGTGCCTGTACCATCCTGAACAAGACAGACTCAGGCCAGCTGAACCCTGAGAGGACGGGTTCTAGCATTCAGAACAGGGACACATCCTTGTGCTTGCTGAAAAAGCCATGACCCCCTCAACCTTGCAGCTGCTGAGACCTGGGAAGCAACTCTCATCTCCAGGCCAGCTCTGCCCTTCTGGCTGGGGCCTACACAGAGGCCCCAAGGTAGCTTGTCCGAGGTCACCTGCCCTGACCTTGGACAAGCTACCCTCCCACCTGTCACACTCCCCTAGCCTGGTAAGGCTTGGCTGAGGGGCAAAACTGATCCACGGAGGTGGGGGCAGGGTAAGGGGAAACCCCAAACCTGTTGTTGCTTCCTCTCTCTTGGCTAACCCTTGCCCTCCTGAACTCCTAACCATAATCAAAGAGTTCCCCAAGCCTGGGTCTGGAGTGACAACAAAGCAGGTAGGGCGTTTGCCATGCATGCGGAGGACCCGGGTTCGATTCCCAGCATCCCATATGGTCCCCCGAGCACCGCCAGGAGTGATTCCTGAGTGCAGAGCCAGGAGTAACCCCTGAAAAAAGACAAGGGTCAATAAGGCCTTAGCATGCCGCCTGCCCTTCCACTGCGGCCTGTTCACCTCCACCCGGCCACATAAAGCACTGTTTATGCCTGCAAAATAAATAAATAAATAAATAAATAAAAGTAAAAATAAATTAAAAAATAAAATTTAAAAAAATTTTTTTAAAAAGGTATATACCAAGTAGTGGCCTCCCACTGCTCATTCAATATTTGTTTAAAATCCCTTCTTCATATACCTGAGATGTAACCCTCAGTATAAACTAACTCAGTATAAACTAACCCTCAGTATAACTCAGTATAAATTCCTCTACTGATTTTCTTAAAGTAATTTAACTCTGAGACCTTACAGTTTTTTTTTTTATTAGTGAAACACCATGAGGTACAGTTATAGACTTATAAATTTTTGTGCTTGGGTTTCAGTTATACAATGATCAAGTACCCATCCCTCCACCAGTGCCCATCCTCCACCACCATGGGTCCCAGCATCCCCCCCAATGCCTCTCTTGCAAAACACAGTACCCAAAAGAAGAGACCTTACAGGTTTTAAAGTCTTTCTCTTTACTTACTGTTTTATCTCTTTTTATTTTCTTAGAACATGTTTCTTTGCAAATAGAAGTAGGAACCACTCTATTCTGAGCGCTATTCTTTTTATTCATTATGACTTCACCAGTGTCCTCTTCATATTCCTGTGTAACCCCTTCATCATCCTCCGAGTTAGAAGCAGAATACTCACTTTCACTGTCAGAACGAGATGCTGGTTCTGTAGGGAGCAGGGAAAGCAACTGGGTAAACTGAACAGTCTGACAATAGGCATCAATGAATAACGTAAAGAATATGTGCTTGGGCTAGAGCAATAGTACAGTGGGTAGGGTGCTTGCCTTGCAAGTAGCAGAACTGGATTTGGTCCCCAGCATCACCTATGGTCCTCTGAACACCACCAGGAGTGATTCCTGAGTGCACACCAAGTAGTAAGCCCTGAGAACCACCAGGTGTGGTCCCAAAACAGAACCAAAAAAAAGAACACGTGCTTACAAAAGTTTTTGACTTGGTTTTGTCTAGTTTTACTGAGGATTTCCCTCAGATCTAGTTATTCATATTTTCTGAGCACCAGTCTTCTTGTTTTTTAACTGAGGCTGAGTGTCTAATTTAACAAACCACTGCAAAGATTATTCAGAAATGTATACAAAGCAACTAACAATGTCTTACATATGATGGTTTCTGCCAAACCATCTTATATGGCAGAAACCATCCAACATACCTAATACCAGTCTACTTCCTTCTTTCTTGTAAAATAATGCCAATTTAAAAAACTGTGCAAATGTTCACCTCCTTGAGTAAACATGGAAAAAATCTTTTCTTTTGCCAGACATTTGCTTTCCCAGTCTCTTTTGCAACAAGAGTTTGACTTGAAACTTGAAGGGAAATCTGCGTGAATCTTCTGGGAAAGACTTTCCTTGCTTGAAGAAGGGAAACTTTATTTCCTTCAAGTTAAAGAAACAAGGGCCAGACCAATAGTACAGCCAGTAGGGAGCTTGTCTTGCACGAGGCAAACACAGGATGGAGCCACAGAACTACATATGGTACCCCTGAGCCCTACCAGGAGTGACACCTGAGAACAGAGCAAGTAGTAAGCCCTGAGTATCATCAGGCGTAGTGCAAAAACAAAGGATAAGGCTTTAAAAAAAATTTTTTTAAATAAAAGTAGTTATTAGCAATATGGAGTACCAATCCCAATGATGAAAATGTGACTCATACCACAATAGCTGCTTCCATGCCTACAACCGGACTCCAGTGCCTCACAGTTAAGCTCTGCAAAGATGCCAAAATTTCAGGTATGTTGGGTTTTTTGGCTGAGAATTCCAGGCCATCGCAGAGTGGGGGTAGGCAATTTCCCCCGACCCCATGCAATCTCCATACATCAGAAAGCCTGGCAGCCATACGCTTATTCCACCACTGCTGCCATGTCAGCTCTCACCCAGTAAAATATTCTGGATTTTATGGATGCTCACAGTTGTGTAATATCTCCAAACTCTACAATACTAACATCTCAGTAGGAGCACACCAGATTGGAAAGGAATGTAATGTAGAAGCCAAAGAAGCTCGATTAATGAATGTTAACACAAAAGGCTCAAATAGCAACAAAAGTTTAGTAAATCCTTAGACAGGATTTAATGTCCCTATAATGAGACATAACAATTTTCACACATTTTCTTTTACTTAAGTATTTTTTTATAATTCCATTAGTCATTTAGTGGTAAGAAGCAATATAAAACAGATTATTTTGGGCCTGCTATGGGGGTAGGCTTGAGGGGTAGTTGGGAAAATGGGGAGAAAGGAGAGGAAAAGACACAGTGATGGTGGGATTTAGTGGGAATGCCTGTTATAAATACATCATGAACAACTTTGTAAACCACGGTGTTTAAATGAAGTAGAAAATGAAGTAGAAAAAAGCTAAAGATGAAAAATGCAAACATAAGAACTAAGGTCTTTCATTACACCACTGAGTTACTACATCGACCATGAAACTGTGTATTCCTAGACCTCTTATGATGTAGGATTACAACTACTGCAGAATTTTCCATTGCTCCCTACACTGAAAAAATAATTCTAACAATCAATAAATGATGGCTACTATTATACATACTACAGACACATACATACCTCACTACAGAGCTGATACAATATTATTGAAAACAAACCATTACTAACTCTGCTATCTACCAGAAATAATAAAGCTAGTTTATATGCATTAAGTAAAAATGAACCTAGATTTATGCTCTGACCCCAATGCATTATTGATCCCCAAGTATCATGCTCATGGTCCCTGGAGAGAAAATATTTCTACTTTATTTTTATGCATATACATATACTAGTTTTAACGAAGAAAGAGAGGTTAAGGGCTATAGAGATAGGCCCAGGTTTGGTCCCTGATACCTCATTTGGCCGTCTGAGTCCCATCAGTAGTGATCCAGAATATAAAGCCAGGAGTAATCCCTAGAGCACCGCTGGATATGGCCCCAAACCAAAAAAACAAACAAAATACCAAGCAGTCTAAGATTAGAGTCTGTGTACTTAATCTTTCTTGCTCCTTGTTTAGATGCTTCTGTTTATAAAAACTTAGTGTAAAATAAAATACATACCATTTCTTTTCCTTAGATTACGAGGTATTGCTGGTTGCGATTCACTTTTGTCATCGTTCTGCTGAAAAATAAAAAAGTATTATAGCTTAAATAGTAAAATAATAATGAAAGCATGGAAATTAGTGATAGATCTATGTGAAAAACGTTAGGCAGAAGAAAAAATTTTTGTTTTATATAGACATCAGAATTAGACTATAGTTTCTAGAAGACAATTACAGATAAATTTGTCAGAAAGAAAATATATAGTAGAATAATAAAAATAATACTACAAATTTCAGAGAATTCCTAGAGGGATTCCAGTAATTGTATTATTGATATTATAAAATGTTATTTTCACTGTTTTTTTTATTTCTTGGGCAACACCTTGCAGTGCTCAGGGGTCACTCTTGTCATGGTGTTCCCTGGGCCTTCAACAGTCAAATGTTTTACTTTAGCCCATTGTATTTCTGCCCCATTATTTTGTTATTAAAAAAAAGCCATATCAAATTTTGTTTGTTTTTTGGCTCATACCTGACAATGCTCAGGGGTTCTTCCTGGCTCTGCACTCAGGAAATTACTCCTGGTAGTACTTGGAGACCATATGGGACATATGGGATGCCAGTGATCAACCCCAGTCAGCTGCATGCAAAGCAAACACCATACCCGCTGTACTATGACACCAGCCCCAGATTATCAGAGTTTTCTTTTTTGCATTTTTTCACACATCAGAAAAGCAGAATGATTTTTTAAAAAATCTAGAGATTATAAGAAAGCAAAGGAACGGATCCTCTAGTGAACAGAGCATAGCTCTTTTAATTTGTTAGAAAGTTACTATTGGTGACACTGCATGAAAAAAAAATTTTATATTTTTCTTGTTTTTAAATTTTTAAGACAACTTACCAAGGGATAAAGTATGGTTTCCTTTCTCTTGCTCACCAGAGCAAACAACTTGCTTATATACTAATCGTTTACTTATTTAGACTCAGTTCAAGACCCTCTTTTTAATGTGTTCACCAATACTAAAAATGTCAGAAATTTATTTAAAACCTATTAGCGTCTAATCTTCAAAGATGTGCCTTAAGCCCTTAACTCCTGCTTCCAAGTGTATTAAGACACAGTCATAGTAATGTTTCTTTGTATAGTAGATAATACCACTAATGGTGGGTTTTCAGAAGGTCTTTTGTTTAATCACCTCGTTTTCTCATGATCTGTTAGAAGTGGTAACAGCACCCATTATTATAACTGTTTGTCTGTGTGGATTTTTGGCTTTGGGGCAATAACTGGCTATTCTCACAGCTTTACTCCTGGTTCTGTGCTGAGGGATCAGTCCTGGGGTGGTCAGGGAACCACAAAGGGTATTGGGGATCAAACCTAGGCCGGCAACTTCCAAGGCTACCTGCCTTGTCCTACCTGCCATATTATCTCTCTGACCCCACTATTACATTGTTATCTACAACCTGAAAAAATAATGAGCTGACACAGATCACCATTAGATTATGGAACTGAGTTTTATTCTTTTATAGTGACAACATATCTAATACAGGGGAAAGCATTATTAAAGACAAAGGAGGCCCTGGCATATCTAATTTTACACCTAAACTTGCTTAAATAAAATATTTTTGCACAGACCATAACCATAGTCCTAAATATCTATACTCATTATCTAAGGGATGAGTCCTGTTTAAATGTATTGTCACCCAGGCCAGGCACTATTATCACTCACATACACAATATCCGAGATATGTTTATGTCCATTTAGACTTGTCCAAATACAGGCATATGAAAATGCCACTTAACAAAGCATATGAAAAAAAAATCACAAAAACACAAAGGAGAAGAAAAAAATCACCAACTTCTTTAAGCTTCCCTGAAATGAGTTTACTGAAGACAACTTAGTTTCCAAATGTAAAATAATGAAAAGCAATATTAATGTATTTGATGGATTTTGTGATCAAGCCCTGAAGAGAAAACAAATTATAGAGTAAAAGCAAAATAGTTGGTTAGTGGTAAAATGTGCTCTTTCATGTATGAGGTCCTGGGGCTTGTTCCCCAGTGCTAAAAAGCAAACAAAAACACATTTCTAGGTCAGCTCTACTAAACTAACATCCAGTGACAGCTCTTCTCCACCCCCACCCTTTTTTTCAGAGTATGGGATAGAACCTAGGGCCTCACACATGTGCTCCATCTGGTGCTACTTCTGACAGGGTAACAAGCAGAATTATAAGAAAAAATCTAGTTTCATTTTCCTAAGTGTTAAATAACAGGTTGAGAAAACCTAGTTTCATTTTCAAATTTTTTTCTTTTTTTTTTGTTTTTGCTTTTTGGGTCACACCCAACAATGCTCAGGGGTTACTCCTGCTTCTGCACTCAGAAATCACTCCTGGCAGTGCTTGGGGACCATATGGGATGCCGGGGAATGAACCCGGGTCAGCTGCATGCAGGGCAAACGCCCTACCCGCTGTATTATCACTCCAGCCCCATTTTCAAATTTTTGTTTTCCTCCTTCAGTGAATTTAGACAACAGACTTTTCTGAACCTCAGAATATTTATCTACAAAACTTGGGTATTTAAACTATAAAGCACTATATAAACTGAGAGATGGAATGGGTATTTTTCATCATGTCCTACTCTGAAGCACTAAGGATTTTGCTTGTTTTTAAGTAAAATGCTTACCTTCGACCGAACTTCATCTGAAGCAGAATGCCCTATAGAATAACAGAAAAAACCATGACTAAACATAAAGACTTCCCTTTTCAGTACAATCTTAAGACAGAGAGGGGCGGAGGAATCGAACCTGGGTCAGCTGCGTACAAGGCAAACGCCCTACGACATATCACTATTTCAAGATTACTACTTCCATGAGTGACAGCCCCATCCTACATTTCTGCAGCACTTACTTAAAAAGAATTTTTTTAAAGGAAACAATTTTCATTATTTTTATTTATTTATTGCTTTTTGGGTCACACCCAGCAATGCTCAGGGGTTACTCCTGCCTCTGCACTCAGGAATTACTCCTAGAGGTGCTTGAGGGACCATACAGAATGCCAGGAATTGAACTCGGGTCAGCCATGTCCAAGGCAAACACCCTACCTGCTGTACTACTGCTCTGGCCCTTCATTATTTTTAAAGTATATTGTTTAGTAGAGTGGGAATAAGCCACTATAAAACAAGTTACTCCACAATTCTCCACAAACTGCAAGACTTCCATACCTCAAATAGCTTTGTTAAAGCATATCATTCATGAGTACTCAGCTAATAACTCAAAGAAAATGGAAAAAAAAAAAACCCAAAAAACTTTAAGACTGTTTTCCAGTCAGTCTACACATTATCAATCAGTTTATTCTTCCCTTTAGAAAGCTAAACATGCACATACAATGGCACAGAGGTAAAGGTATATCATGACACTGTTGACTGAATCTCAGAACAGAAGAAAACATATTATTTTTTAAAAAACTCAACAAACTGTAAACTTGAAAATACAAGGAAAACTCTCCTCAAAGAACAAAGTTTGTTAAAATCTTACCCTTGCAGTCAATTCTCTACGGGATATAGTATGAGAGTAATATCCAAGGTGAGGGTAAATAGAGGCCAGAAGGACAGGTCAATGGTTGGAAGCTTGCCACAAGAGTGTGTGGGGGGGGGGGGGTCGGGGGGGAGGTGAAGGGCACAGGTAGAGAGAGAGAGGGGAGTAGGGAAAGGAAGAGAAAGGGGGGAGGAGAGAGAGAGAGGGAGAGAGAGAGAGAGAAGAAAGGTGCCTGCCATGGCAGGCAGTGGGATGGGGGCAGGGGTGGGAACAGGAGAGAAACTGGGACCACTGGTGGTGGGAAAAGTACACTGGTGAAGGGACAGGTGCTAGAACATCATATGAATGAAATCCAATCATGAACAACTTTATAAGTGTGTACAGCACTGTGATTCAATTTAAAAAAAAAAGAAAAATGAAATTGGAAAAAAAAGAAATTCTTACCCTTGCTGCTTTGAGGAATGTCTGTGATAATTTCAGGATCACTCTTTACATCAAGTGAAACACTTTTTCTCGGTGTTTTTGCTAGTTCAGAAGCTATAAAAGAAATATATATATGTATATTTATATACAACAATACATTAAGGATAATATTTACATTTACTTATTTAAATTCTTAAAAAAGAAACCTGTACTCTATTATTATCACAAGTAAATAGATCTAGTAGCACTAAGAGTATTACTGTTTTTATCTTTGTTCAGCATTTAAGTCTTCAATTATCAGAAGTTCTCTCAAAAAAAATAAAAGATTAATTTTGACCTTAGTGCTTTCTCTAATTATTATACTCTCTCCTCTTCCTTCATAAGCCTATGCTCCCTGCATTTCACATATACGTGTGTGTATATCATTGTATCACTGTCCTCCCACTGCTCATCAATTTGCTCAAGCGGGTGCCAGTAATGTCTCCATTCGTCTCTGACACGTGCCAGTGTAGCCCGATGGCATATCGGGGGCTCTTTCAGGGTCAGGGGAATGAGGACCATCACTGTTACTATTTCCGGCATATGAAGTACGCCATGGATAGCTTGTCAGGCTCTGCCGTGCAGGCGGGATACTCCTAGTAGCTTGCCGGGCTCTCAGAAAGGGATGGAGGCACCTTTACAGGTGTTGCCAATCAAGCATACATATGGGAAGGATACTTTCGGTAGCCTGATGGGTTCTCTGAGAGCGAAAACTAGACAATAAAAGGTTGCACACTTCCGGGAGCTTGGATTTATAGTCTCTGAATCTTTATAGTGTGTGTATATATACATATACACATATATATGAGGTAAAGGTTTGCTATTGGGCAAAGAAGGTCAGAAAATAGAATCTAAATCAAATAAAAACAGTGTACATTTAAAATATTTGTAAAAGCATGTCAATCTTCCACAAAATGTGCTATCTTTCACTTTGTATCTAAAATTATGTTAATACACATGAGTAGCACAGAAACACAGCATTGAGCAAATGCATCTTCAAATGGGCATCAGATACATGGTTTCTTTTTTTTTTCCTTTTTGGCTTTCTGGCTTTTTGGGTTATACCCCACAATGCTCAGGTGCTTACTCCTTGGCTCTGCACTCAGAAATTACTCCTGGCCAAGGATAGAACCTGGGTCAGCTGCGTGCAAGGCAAACGGCCTACCTGCTGTACTATCACTCCAGTGCCAAAATGAATGGTTTCTAAACAGAAGGGCCATTTTACTGTTTAGGATTTTGTTGTTGTTGTCGTTGTTGTTGTTTTTGGCTGGGGGGGCAGGACGTGGATCAAACTCAAGGTCTCACATATGTAAAGGATGAACTCTATATTGAGCCACACCCCCAGTCCTAGAAAGGGCCATTTCAAGTGAAAAACACACTATCTTTAAGGGTTTTGTTTGTTTGTGCCACATCCAGGGGCATCCAGACTTACTCTTGGCACTACACTCAGGGATCACTCCTGCTAGGGATCGGGTGTACCATATACGGTGCCAGGAATCGAATCTGGGTTGGATATGTGCAAGGCAAATGTCCAACTCACTGTAGCACTGCTCGGGTCCCTTACCTTTAATGTTTCTCAGCTGTCTCAATAAGAGTAATTTTCACTTCACTTTGAATGTTTACATAGTCGTTATTAGAATGAATGCATAAAAATACGTCACTTAAAACATATCTGGGGACCCAAGAGAAAGTACAGTGGATTAAGGCACTTGCCTTATATGCAGCGGACCTAAGTTTGTCATTAGCCCATTATGACCCCACGGGAAGTAAACTCTGAGTGTACAGATAGAGTAAGCCCAGGGCACCACTGGGTGCAGTCCCAAAACAAAAACAGACAAAAAACACAGAGCTGGTAGCAATCCCTGACACAACAGAGTATGATCCAAAAGTAAAATGAAGTTTGTAATCTAGCTGAGAACAGAAGACATTTTAAGCATGAAATAAAAAAATGAATTTTATTTTATTTTTTAATTTGAGCATCACCTAGCTCAGGGGCTACTACTAGTTCAGCAATCAGAAGTCACCTCAGGGGACTGTGCAATGCCAGAAACAGAACCCAGAAGTTCACACAAGCAAGGCCAAATGTTCTACCATTGAACATATCATTGGACTCAAATAAGCTTTATAATGTGATAGCCCTTATCATTCTTTTTTATCATTCTTTTTTTTTAAATCATCCTTCTGGGGAATAAAATTATATAATTCTGACAGGAAAGTGGTTAAATATATCTTCTTTGAAAGAGTAAACAGTGAAATCAGAAATTAGAAAAAGCAACATACCTAACTTAGCCATCTTTTCAGAGTGTTTATTATTTTGAAAAGAGTAGACTTTATTCCCACCATCTAGAGTAGAGCCATTTTTCAAGGACTCTGAAAGAGAAAATGCAGCATGGATTTAAGAAAAATGAATAAAGTTAATCATAGGGAAAATACAATAAATATTTTAACTGCAAACTTAAGATCGTACTCCTCACTTTGAACATTGTTAACAATTTATACATAAAATATAAAACAGACTAACATGATCTATAAAAAATTTTAAAACAAAATAAGAACTTGCTACTGCAATTTAACTGTTTGGCACAGGGAAAGTCTGAATTCTTTATAATATCATTAAGCTAGGAGATGGTTCAAAAAGCTCGAATACATGCTTTGCCTGTGGAGACCAGGTTTAATTCCTGGCATCACATGGTCCCACAGGCACAGCATGGCCCCTAGATCATCTAGCTGGAAGGAGTCCCCGAGTACCACTGGATGCAGTCCCTGCCCAACTGTCAAATAACTTCTATGTAGACTAAATTAAAATCTGTGGAAATATTTGAAGGAAGTATTAACTACTACAATTGTTTCTAATTAGCTGTAGTTTATTCACAAAATGGAGGAGAACCCACAAAAAATTTGAGAACATGGAAAAAGCACAAAACCACACTATACTCAAATTGTGCCAAAACATCTTAAATGATTTAAACATACTAGAAGGAAATAAAACTGACAATTCTAGATGATGCATTACTGACATAAAAATAAAAAGTAATGCTGTTCTTCAATCGATTAACCTACACACACAAACGCAGTATGTGAAACAAAATGTTTACAACATGTAAATTGTTTCTATGATTTTCTGGTTCCAGTATTTTGATTAATAAACAATGGTTCAAATCACATTGGCTAGTATATAATCTACTATAACATATAAACCTCTTAGTATTTAGGGGCTAGAATGATAGTACATGAATTAAGATGGCTGCCTTGCATGCAATTGATCCTAGTTCCATCTTCACATAGGTAAACTCGTTCCATCTTCTTATAGGGACTGAAGAAACTTACAGATAGGGTGCATGCCTGGCATGAGGCTGACCAGAGTTCAATCCAAGCATCCCATATGGTCTCCTAAGCACTGCCTGGAGTAAACCCTGAGTTAGCCTGGGAACTGCCGGATGTGGCCCCCAAACCAAGCCAAAGGTAAAGGTAAAGGTAAAGGCCCTCCCGTTGATCATCGATTTGCTCGAGCGGGCCCAGTAACGTCTCCATTGGAGACTTTGTTGTTACTGTGCCTGGCATATCGAATACGTCATGGGGGGCTTGCCAGGCTCTGCCGTGCGGGCGAGATACTCTCGGTAGCTTGCCGGGCTCTCCAAGAGGGGCCAAAACAACGACAAAAACAAAAGAAATCTAAAAGAAGGAATCATATATTATTTATAATATAGAAGCAATACAACTCAGTCACCAAGGGTTTTTTGGCCCAGAGAAAATCTTACAGAATTTAACATTAGCTGATGGACATGGAGAGAATCATGCTGAGTGAAATGAGTCAGAAGGACACATATCATTCATTTGTGGAATATTAAAAAAAAATTAGTATGAGACTAATATCCAAGGGCAGGAAAAACAGGCCAGAAGGACTGGTCAATGGCTGGAAGCTGACCACAAGTGTGTGTGTGTAGGGTAGGGCAGTTAGGATACACAAGGGACCAGTAGGACAATAATATTTAGAAATGATCACCATGGACAAGAACTAAGTGTTGTAAGTAGGTAAAGGGATATACATGATGACATTTCAGTATTTGTATTACAAACCATAATGTGAGAGAGAGAGAAATACCTGCCACAGAGGCAGACTGGAGGTTGGTGACCCAGAGTCGGAGTGGGGGACTGGGGGGAAACTGGGCACATTGGTGGTGGGAAATGTGCACTAGTGAAGGGACAGGTATTAGAATACTGTAGGATGAAACCCAATCATGAACAACTTTGTAACTGTAATCTCGCTGTGATTCAATTAAAAAAAATTTTTATTAAAAAAAAAAGAATTTAACATTAGCTATGTTAAATTGTTGTTGTTGTTGCTTTTGGGCCAGCCCAGCAGTGCTTAGGGCTTACTCCTGACTCTGTGCTCAGGGGTCATTCCTGGCGGTATTCAGGGAATCATATGGGGTTGTCAAGGATTGAGCCACATACAAGCACGTGCCCTACCCACTGTCCTATCACTCCAACCTCCTAGTTATATTAATTTAAATAGAAATAACACTATGAACTCATGCCCATTAAAATGATTAAGAAAAGTGTTGATAAGGATCCGAAGGAAGTAGAACCCTTGCATATAACTGGAGGAAATATAAATTGATGTAGCTGCTAGGAAAATAGTATGGCATGGGTTTGGTATATAGCTTAAGTGATAGAGTAGTCTTACATATCTATAAGGCCCTGGGGTCAATTCTGGGTCACATATTTCCCACCTTTTATACTGCCAGGAGTGTCCCCAGGGTCCCTTATAACCATGGTATATGGTTCTCATGGGGATGGGGAAAGGGGAGCAGGGAAAGATTGGCCCTCAAAAAATTAAAAATAGAATTAACATGACCCAGCAATTCTACCTTTAGGAATATGCCCTAAAGGATTCAAAGACAGGTCTCAAAGATTCAGGGAGACTGGGACTAGGGATGAGAAGTACCTTGTTTCTAGTTTGGTGCCTTCAAGAAGGCACTTTTACTAGTCTGGAACATTCTTCTTTGCTTCGTTTACCTCCAAATACCAAATATGCTCTGGGTGCTAGTGTGTGAAAAAGGTTAGAAGCACTGAGTTTCTACTACGAATATATTATTACTTCTATAATAAGAAACATTTTTAAGAAGACAAAGGGTATTTTTTTAATTCTTATTTTGTTTTGTATTTTGGGCCACACTCAGCAGTGCTCAAAGCTTACTCCTGACTCTGTGTTCAGGGATTACTTCTAGTGGGTTTAGGTGACCATAAATGGTGGCAGGAATAGAATTCGAATTGGAAGAGTGCAAGGCAAGTATATTGCTCGTTGTACTATCACTCTGGCCCCTGAATATATTTTCAATGTCTTTTTTAGGTCTTGTCACTGTCCTTCCATTGTTCATCGATTTGCTTGAGCGGGCCCAGTAACGTCTCCATTGTGACAATTGTTACTGTGTTTGGAATATCGAATATGTCACAGGTAGCTTGCCAGGCTTTGCCGTGTGGGTAGCTTGCTGGGCTCTCCAAGAAGGGTGGAGGAATCAAACTCGGGTCGGCCATGTTGGCCGCTTACAAGGCAAATGCTCTACCCACTGTGCTATCGCTCTAGCCCTTTAGGTCTTGAATAGCATGTAATCAAGAATTCAAAGTTCTATGCAGAATACAGACTAAAATTGACAGCTGACTAGCTGTGGATACTTATAACAGAATCCACCTTGCCCACTAGTCCTTCTGAAGGAGTAGTCACTTCCTGAATCATAGTATTTAGCACTAAGAAGCATTATAACTCATCAAAATGTGAAAAAACGTCAATGTTGGTCATTTATAAACCAAATATGAGAGTAAGTAACCTGACCAGGAGAAGGCTGGTGGCAGAGGGCAGAAAAGAGCTGAACAGACATTAAATGGAGGAAGATGACCCTAAAAGCAATAGTCTCTCAGTTATGAACAAAATTCCAGTTCCAATGACCATACTGCCCAACAACACTAATTTCAATTTGAATATATATTTTTAATCTAACTTGAGTGTATCTATACTCCTAATATAAAGCTGTACTCTATAGTGAGCCCTAACAAAACATAAGCCAAGTCTAATAATTTTAAGTATAATCTGACAGGAAATCTAGCTTGACAAAAGAAAACACCAATATTTCTAGGTTGGAATGTTTCTTTTAAATATTTCTGTAAAGCAGATCAAGGTTATTATGAAATGATTTTGAATTAGTTAAATATGTAAACTAATTTATATTTAAAAAATAAAATAAAAATAAAAATATAAATTATTTTTTAAATATAAATATAAACTGATTTATTTATATTTTTTAACATACAGTTAAAAAATGGTGGTGATAGTAGCAACTTTGAGTATATTTAATATAACTTAAAAATAGTAAAGATGGTGAATTCATATTCTTGTTTTGTGTGTTAGTACAATGAAAGTAAAATTGAAGAGGTACAGAGATAGCTCAGTGGTAGAGAGCCTGTCCTACAGGAAAGAATTCTCAAGTTCAATTCCCAGCATCACCCTTATCTTCCAACTGCAACCTCTGGAGTGTGGTCCTCAATCCATGGAACCACAACAAATTGTGATCTTCAGCATATTATAACCACATGAGTGTGAGCACCACAACAAATGTGTGGTTCCTCATCCCCACTATGAACAGTCACATAAGAGTCTGAATGCTACAACGAAGTATGAGTAATCCCAGTCAAAGCAACAATGATAGCATGTGAGGAATAAATAAATAAAATCAAAAAATGCACATCTCATTGCTTAATTTACCAGTCTATGCATCTTTCAAAGCAATTTTATTTGCTACCAGAAATATGTATACATTTCCCACCCTTCATAACCACCAAGTACCTTGAACATCTCTTCCTAAAACATCCACATAGTTCTGATCTTTCAAGACTTCCTTTTCATCTTCTTCCAAATCACTTTCTGGTTTCTTTATGGTTTTCTTTGTGACCAAAAGCTGGGGTCGTTCCCTTTTTAATTTAGTTCCTATAAAAATACCCCTCATGAGAACATTACAGGCACAAATTCTTACTAAACATTTTATATACACAAGTAAACAACATACACTACTCATGTGTTGTCTCTGAAAAAAGAACGCCACATTTATGTAACAAGAGTAATAAAAACATTTCTGAAAATATATTTTAAAATATATTTTTTTAATTATATATTTTAAAAGTGTATTTTTGGGGAGTCACAATAATCCACATTTTAATAACAATGGGCTATTATTTATTTTACTATTATTATGACTATTATTTATTTTACTATTTGCGGCTGCGTGACATCTTATAATCTCATTCTTACTTTGGACAACCTGGCAGGCTACCGGATGTAGCCTGCCCACACGGCAGAATCTGGCAAACTCCCCATGGCGTACCCAATATGCCAAATACCAGTAACAATGATGGGTCTCATTCTCCTAAACCTGGGACAGCCTTGAATATGGCACTTTTTAAAATCTCAGGGCTAGGACGAAGGAGCTGTTACTGGTGCCTGCTCGAGGCAATCGACGAACAACAGGATGATCATGATCGTGATTATTACTATTGTTTTGAGGCCACACTCCATGGTGCTCAGGGCTTACTCCTGACTGGGCCATATGGGATGCCTAGGATGGAACCCTGGTTGGTGCCTCCATGGCAAACACCTTGACTGCTATATTACCTCTCTGGCACAATTGTCATGATTTTTAATTTTCAATGAAGTTTGAATGGTGTAAACTAAAAACTTGAACTTTGCAATTTTATTAGACCAAATATTTTGTGCAAGGCTTTTGTTTGGGGGCCATATCCAGCAGTGTTCAGGGATCACTTCTGGTGGGACTTGAATAACCGTACATAATGCCAGGGGTCAACCCACGTCAGCCATGTGTAAAGCAAGCACCCTACCCATTGTATTATAACTCTAGCCCCTTGTGCTATGCTTTTTTCAAAAAAGTCCAATAGTTAAAAAGAAAAAGAGTTTGGTCAGAGCAATAGTACAGTGGGTAGGGTGTCTGCCATGCTGTAGGCCCAGGTTTGATTCTCACTACCCCATATCGTGACCCAAGTCAACCAGGAATGAGCCCTGAGTGCAGAGCCAGAAGAAAACCCTGAGCACTGCCAGTTGTGCCCCTCCTCCCCCCCACAAACAAACAATATTTTAAAAAGTTAAATAGTCCATCAGCTTTATGTAAGTATCTGTTTAATTATATAATTACTCAGTACCTCCTTCTCTATCAAGAATGTGATTAAGAACATCATCATCTCCCACAAACTGAACCTTCAGCATCTTGTCTTCCTTTAATTCCAGTTTACTCATCTTTGCCAACCTAAAAACAAAAACATATTCAAAAGTGATGAAAATTTCGTATCAACCAAATAAACATTCACAAAATGAAAACATTATTTGTAGAACATTTTTAAAACCCTTTTAAATATAAAAACGTATAATTTTAAAAATTAAAAAATTTAAATACACAAATATTGTGTATTATGTATATGTATGGGCTGGAGCGATAGCGCAGCGGGTAGGGTGTTTGCCTTGCACAGAGCCAACGTGGCCGACCCAAGTTTGAGTCCTCCACCCCGCTCGGAGAGCCCAGCAAGCTACCGAGAGTATCTTCCCCGCACGGCAAAGCCTGGCAAGCTACCTGTGACATATTCGATATGCCAAACACAGTAACAATTGTCACAATGGAGACATTACTGGGCCAGCTCAAGCAAATCGATGAAGAACGGGAGGACAGTGACAGTGACAGTGATGTATATGTATGTTTTGCCAGGCACCAAACTTTGGAACTCACATATGATGGACATCTGCTCTACCACTAACCCATATTTCTAGCCTTGCAAAGCATATTACACATTCACTGTCACTGTCACTGTCCTCCCATGTTCTATTGTAACAAAAATTACGCTGACTTTTTTTTTTTTTAAAGGTACATCCTCCAGTGTACTGGGAGGCACTGGTTGCCAATTCCAGAGATACTCAACACAAAGGTACAGGCATAAGGTTTGGTGCTAGAAGGCAGTGTTTAAAGGTCACCAAGGCCACGACCAGTGATGCTCAGGGGCCAATAAGTACCAGGGACTGAAGAGTGAATTTGGGGTGTGGCATATGAGCATGCGCTCTACAACTTAAGCTATCTCTCCAGCCATTTTATATATATATATATATTTTTTTTTATTAAGAGACAACTCAACTCTTCTCTCTGAAAAATGGAAGAGAGAAAAAAGATGTTCTGAGAGTTGGAAAAAATAAATCCAGTCAAGGTAATTAACCTAAAATAGAAAAAAATTTCTGAGTGAAAAGAAAGTTCTACTCAGTGTATAGAAAATCTGTATAATGGGGCCCAAAGCGAGGGTACAATGGGTAGAGCATTTGCCTTACATGTGGCCGACCTGGGTTGGATCCCCAGCATCCCATATGGTCCCCTGAGCACTGTCAGGATTAATTTCCAAGTGCAGAGTCAGGAATAACCCCTGAGCATCACTGGGTGTGGCCCGAAAACAAAATCAAAACAAAAAACAAACAAAATAGAAAATCATATTGCTATAAAGAAGGTGGTTAAGAAAGTTTAGAAAGAGGGTAGGCAAACAAAAAATAATGGTTTGTAAAGATACAGCATGTGGTACTTCACTGATGATGTAACAAGTCTGAATTAAATAATTCATAAGCATCTCCCTTTATAATTACTGCAGCTTACTACTAAACAACTTTACAATTATGAATATGGCTTTGGTAACTAAACAGCAAATACTAGCTTGCAGTTCTTAGACTTTGGGGAGTAAAAGTTGATCAAGTTTTGCTACACTGACAAAACACATTTTCAGAGTTGATTTATTTAAATACTTCAGTCTGTATATTTTTTAGGGTCGTGGGCCACATTCAGCGGTGCTCAGGACTTTCTCCTGGCTCTGTGCTCAGGTATCGCTCGCGCCTGGCAGGCTCAGGCACCCTACCAACTGTGCTATTACTTCAACCCCCAGTTTCAGAATTTATAATGTTCAAGTCCTAAAATCAATTGATGATAATTCCAATTAACTGCTAGACAGGTTTACTCCAAAGTGGGTTCTTCTTCTCTCTTTTAAGCCCTGTTTTTGCTTTTTCTTCCTGAAAACAGAAACTACTGTGTCTTTTTCATCAATCAGTTATTTGAATGCAAAAAACTTATTAAATGTTGTCACATTTTCTTTTCTTTTCTTTTGGGGCCAGACCCATTCTCTGAAAGTTGCTTTCATCAGTACGTAGAAGACCACAGAGTGTAAAAGATAAAGACTTGGGCTCACACATGCAAAGCATGCACTCCAGCACTTTGAGCTATCTCCCACCACCAGCCCAAATTTTTTTTGATTAACTGCACATTGAAATGACTGGTCTCAGTTTTCATTTACCTTTCAAGATATTACGCATTCTGCAACTGGAAAACTCAGACAGTCCCCTGTAACTGGAAAAAAAATCTGTCAGGGTTTGCAAACTGGAAAAGGAAAACAACCTATGATGTTTATGAATTTTAACAAAGACACCACGAAGTCAAAGTAATTATGATTATGTAACAAAGTACAAAATAATCATTATTAATGTTTGGTCAAAAAGTCCTAAAGACAAAACATCTGGACTGAAAGGTCATAAACTGAGGAAGGAGAAAATCTGAATATTTAGTATGTGTTAGGCATATTTGAATATTTTGTATGTGTGTACACATTCTCAAATCCTTATTATCATTTTTTAGGCATAAGTATATAGTATTTTATATCTTTTTATTATGGTACCAGGGATTGTTGGGGTCTCAGTAGCCGACCTGAGACTTTGACTAAATTCCCTGCCCTGAAAGAAAGAGCTGGCCCTGTTTACAGGGGCCCAGGGGCTTGCTTCAGCACTCCACACACACAGGCACTCTGGTTGAGGATGAGAGATGTAATAGTTACCATCTGCCTGAGCTAATACACCTGGCCCTGAAATTGGGAGATGTAAATCATTAACATCTATATTGAGCCTGTGCTGGAGCGACAGCACAGCAGGTACGGCATTTGCCTTACACACAGCCAAACCGGGTTCGATTCCTCGGCCCCTCTCGGAGAGCCGGGGAAGCTACCAAGAGTATGCCACGAACATGGCAGAGCCTGGCAAGCTCCCTGTGAGCTCAATATGCCAAAAACAGTAACAAGTCTCACAATGAAGACGTTACTGGTGCCCACTCGAGCAAATCGATGAACAACAGGAGGACAGTGCTACAGTATTGAGCCTGACAAGGTAAATGTATTACACGTGGATTGCCCCGTGAAATATATGTATAAAAAACCCTGTGTGAGAGCTAATAAACGGATTGCTAATTGACCACCAGCTTTCCCCCCTCTGCATGATTCTTTCTCGGTGGTGGGGAGAGTCCACACGTGCTCGGAGGGCCAGGGCAGAGGTTTCTCCCCTTCCCACTCCCTCTCCTATAGGGTGTAAGTCTGGCAACCAGGGGGATCATACTCCAGTGTGCCAGGGTTGACTGGCCAGGACCCCGACAAGGGATCAAACCCAGGTCTAATACTCATGTTTCTGAGTAATATCGGGGGCTGTTCTGGGCTTAACCCTCAAGAGTTCTGGTGGTGCTGGAGGTTAGGGGAAAGGTGTTATATGTGGCTTGAGTTGACCACTTTGAAGGCAAGCACCTTACTTCCTGTATTAGCTCTCTGGCCCTAAATGACAGTAGGAGATACACATTAGGGCTATCTTTCTAGTTGTGATACTATTTTTTATTATGTTAAATTTGGGTGAATTAGAAAAAGCTAAAAACAACTTTATCAATGTTTATATTTTAAAAAGAAATATTTTCTTTGACATGTAAATTTTGTTTGGGGGGGCCACACTGAGAAGTACTCAAGAAGCTATTCCTGGATCTGTGCTCAGGAGTGACCATATGAAATAATTAAATGGTGGCTAGAGAGAGAGTATAGCAGGCAGGGCACTTGGCATGCATGCAGCTGACCACATACAATCCCTGGAGCCCCACCAGGACCCACTAGGAGTCAGGTACGCACATTCTGCTCAGCTGACTGCCTCCAAGAGTTGCCAGATCTTTTGAGCCCTGCTTGAGTGAGGCCAGCTCCCATTTTTTCCCAAGGGAAAAAATTGAAACATTCTAGATGACTAGTATCCTCGGCACTTTCCCTATGGCATGATAAAAAATATACCTAGTTGAAGACAGCCTGTCATGGAGAGAGAATGTAGTAGTCTTGGCCACAACCCAGCAGTGCTCACAGGCCACTAAGTGCTGACTCCTGAAGGTGCCAGGGATCAAATAGGGGCTGGTCCCAAGCAAGGCAAACACCTTTACCAATGTACCACTATCTCTCTAGTTCAAAATTTGCCTTATTTGTGGCCTAATGAATTTATATGTATATTTCCCCTTAGAGATTTTTAAGGCAACTTATTATATGATTCAGAATCACCAACATCAGGAAGTTTTTACAAAAGAATCATTTTTCCCCTCCTCAAACAATTTCTAGAGAAAGGAAAATACACTAACAATCACAATCAAATGTAAATACTTATCCCTGAAAGTACTTTTTTTTTTAATTTTGGCTTTTTGGGTCACACCTGGCGATGTTCAGGGGGTTATTCCTGGCTCTGCACTCATGAATCACTCCTGGTGGTGCTTAGGGGACCATATGGGATGCGGGGGACTGAACATGCAAGGCAAATGTCCTACCTGCTGTACTATTGCTCCAGGCCCTTAAGGCACATTCTTGAGTATTTTTAAGTGGAATACATACAGTTAACTAGAAGGCAATACGGTGATACTAAGATACACTCTCCTTTGAGTCCAAACCATGGATTTAAGTTATCTTTTCCTCACACACAACTGACAGGTTGGATACCCCATACAGCATATCCTGAGGCTTTCAGGAGTGATCCCTGAGTACAGTGAGGTGTAGCCCAAAACCCACCCCCACCAAAAACCAAACAAAACCCTAATTGTTAAAAGAAAACGTGACACAGATGAATGTGAAAGCCATCAACTTTAAATCAGATAAGCTTGGACTCCATCTTAACACAACTGTACGACTATTAGTAAAGTCATGATAATTAAATACTATCACAGGCCTAAAAAATGAATGATATTGCTAATATTCGCAATGATCTGCATTTTGACTTTAAATGTTAACCACAGAGATCTCAGGTTCTTCTCTCTAGACCCTATCCAACAGAAAAAAGTGCTCAACAGAGTAAGGAACTGGCCTTGCACCTGGTAGACCCGGGTTTGATTCTGGGCACCCCAAATGGTCCCCTGAGCACCACCAGGAGTGATTCCAGAGTGCAGAGCCAAGAGTAAC